TTTTTTCATTGAGAGGTTAATAATGTTTGGATTGTAGGTGTGATACTAAAAGTATTGGGAGATTGGCGTATTTATAATTTTTTCTTTATTTTAAAATAGTGAGACTTTATGATAAGTTATTCTTTGATATGTTTACATGTTCATTTAAATTTAATAGCAAGAAGTTCTATCCTCCTCTTTTTATCCAACCGTCCATTTTTGAATGGAGGGTTAAGATTGGTCCAATCACAATGTCACGTCTACACTATTTTATTTTTAAATTTTTTCTACAAATCAGTGGTTCAAAAATCAGCGAGTCGCAACGAACTCACCCGAGTCGGTACAGGAATCGGTAACTCCGTGCCGAATTCTTTTTTTTCTTTCTATAAATCAATGGTTTAAAATCAGCGAGTCGCAACGGATAAATCAATGGTTTAAAAATCGGCGAGTCGCATTGGACTCGCCCGAGTCGGTACGGGAATCAGTAACCCTGTGCCGATTACATCGGGTTCTGAACCATAAACCGCCTATAAAAGTCACAGACCGGGGAGAACCGGTTCTTAATCACACATGGTAAGCTTCAAAACTTAGCCACATGTGGCAAGCCTTCAACCCCACAGCATTGCAAACCCGCGTTTCCACGCGTGCGTGTAACAAAGCACAACAACTCATTCTTGGATGTGGGATAATTTCCACAAGGTGCATTAAATTAAAATATACATTGAATAAGTATTATTAATATGTAAAGCTATTATACTTGCCATAGCCTGGCTTTGTGGTTATTGCTTCTTCTTTGTTGAAGGGCGCATTAAGTTCGAACTCCAGCTCGGGCACGCTATATTATTCCATTTGAAATTCAATCTTTCTATTATCAATCTTTCTTACTAAATTTATTCTAGAATCTAAAAAATTAAAATTTTGAAAAATTGAAGTGGTATTTCGAAAATAATGTTGTTAAAAAAAAAAATATTCCATTTGAAATTCTATCTTTCTATTAACAATCTTTTTTACTAAATTTATCCTAGAATCTGAAAAATTAAAATTTTGAAAAATTGAAGTGTTATTTCGAAAATTGATATGTATTCAAATAATTTCTATATTGATAACCAAATTTTTATTTTATTTATTAATTTTTTTTGCATTATAAATCATGTAATGTACTATTTTTCTTACAGTTGTCAATAATACATTTTAAATTAGATGATATTATAAAATATTTTGGATTTGTTATTGTTTGTAGAATAAAATAATTATAAAATGTTAACCAACAATTTTAATTTCAGTATATAATATTATAGTTAGTTAGATTGTAATAATTTTGGAATTATTTATTGACTTTTGCATTATAAATCATGTAATATACTATTTTTCTTATAGTTGTCAATAAGACATTTTAAATCAGATGATATTATAAAATATTTTGGATGTGTTAGTGTTTGTATAATAAAATAATTATAAAATGGTAACCAGCAATTTTAATTTCAGTATATAATATTATAGTTAGTTAGGTTGTAATAAGTTTAGATTATAATTCTGTTGTAATAATTTGGGTTTTTTAGTGAATTAGGGTTTTCGCCAATTTGAGATTTTAGTGGCCTTTTTTTCATCGATTTAGTCGACTCTTTATTGTAGTCTATGTATGATTGATATACTTCATCACTGATAATTCTATGATTTTTCTTTTGTATGATATAAATTTAATGGTTAACATAAGTTTATGCATGGAAAGAACGTCTCAATATTTACAAATTGATGAAAAAAATGAAAGTTAACATTGTAGTACCTTCGTTTCTTATTGGATTCCTAAAAGACAACATTTATAATGAATTTTAATAATTTTTTTGGATTTTTTTAAAGCTTAATCCAACCGAGTTAGAGGATTCCCGATCCGAATGGGTTTTTGGAGTGCCCGATCTGGAGCACCGATCCGTTTTTTAAACCACTATTATAAACTATTTTGACACCAAATTTTGGATGTCAATTCCTCTATTAAACTCGCACTAACGAAAAATATATTTTCAATAAAATAAAATGACCAAATACCGCTGAAAATTTCAATGGGTAATTTGGTCATTATTTTTTATCAAAAACTTATTGTTAATATTTTTTATAGATGTGCCCCAATGATAAGATGGCACGTACCAAATTTTATATTAAAAAAAATTGTATTTAAAAAAACTAAAAACAAACGGTGAGTGGCTCTCTTGATAAAAAATGGACGGCTGGATGGTATGGGGAAGATAGAAGTTCTATGTTGTAGAGGGAATATAAAAAGCTAGGGAATATAAAAAGCTTTCCTCTATATATATATATATATGATGATTAGAAACATTGTCATGTATACTTGATGATTATGAAACATTTTTATATATATGATGATTATGAAACATTTTTATGTATACTTGATGATTATGAAACATTTTCATGTATACTGATGATTATGAACCATTTTCATCTATGATATGTATGTTATAATCTTTGTTACGGCAAGACTCAAAATTGCCAAACTTTTGTGTCAACACAATGCGACACTCCTAGACACAGGGGGGATACTTGTACGGGTAGCTGTCTGTCATCATAGAAAAGTTCGGACACAGAGACGAAGTGTCCTAGCTTATGGAGGCAAAGTTCGGACACAGCAGAGACGAAGTGTCCTAGTTTATGGAGGCAAAACTTGCCCTAACAGGAGCAGAACTCATGAACTTTTGCTTTAAATCTAAATGCTCTACCACGAACGGTTATGAGCCGTAGATGACAATATATTTATAATTTAATTAGTAATATAAGTCTTTGATGCAAATTTGAATAAACAACGAAGAACTAAAAAACGTTTATGATAATTAGATTGAAAGTAGGCTATATGACCTTGGGAGTAGAAGTAAATTATGCCTCCCAAGAAATATAGAATGCATCGTCTATTGTCCAAAGAAAAATTTTAAATTTGAGTTTTGTAAAGATGTTATCATCGAAAAATTAGATGGTGTCCATTCAACCTCGAGATATTACCGAGAAATACACTTACTTGGAGAAATTTTTTGTTTGAAACTTCGGGATCTATCTAATTATAACTACATGAGTATTTTCTAATAATTTTTTTTTTATTTTGAGTTCTTAAACATCTAGAACATTCCGGTGCAATATTGAGATGTCCTTTTTTTTAGGTACATAGAGAGTGGGAGTTAATTTTTTTTTGCTTTGAGGTTGGTTAAGGGGTTCTAGAGATCATATCCCCAAAATTTGAGATCAAAAGATATTCCTTATGTATGTTTTGCCCGAGGGAGTAGAAGTATAGTATACTCCCAAAGTAGTAGGAAATCTTTTGGCTTATCAAGGAACTCGTACATTAATAATAGTGGCTGTGCATTTCAACACAAGTCCACAAATAATGCAAGTCCGCAGCTTAGCATTGAAACCTATGGCATTTCATCTTTTTGAACTGGGACAAATAATCTATGCTGGTCCTTTCAACCTGACTTGGACACGGTTTCTATGGGTTGAAGAGGCTACCTTCATAAAATTAGGGTTCCTAAAATTGCTCCTGTATTGGGTTTTTTCCCAGGGACTAATGGGCAATATACTCCATCCAGAGTATAAAATCTTTTGCTTTTAGAGTTTCGCCAACAAATAAATCTTAAAGAGGGCGTATACTATGCTCCCGAGGGACATAGTGTACATCCACTCCTTCGATCAAAAGACATCCTTGGAAGTATTTTTTCAATCTGAAAATTTGGGAACCCTTAAGAATCACCAGTTTATTATTCTCAAAAGAAAAGGTTCAAATTTTGAGTTTCCAAACAGATCCCACCTCTGAAAATTGGTCTTTGTTTAATCTTAAGACATTATTATTTTTTAAGTGAACATAGGGAAGCAATTAGGAAATATTTTTATGAAAGATACAGTTTCTATGAGGCCTAGGCTTTATAAAAACAAAGTAAAACCTTATCTTCAATCTTCGTTTAGAAAGTACTTTGGGGCATAGAAATCTTCATGATGACTCTAAAATCAATTTTCAACACCAATTTTGAAATATGAAGCCCAAAAAATGGTACAGATTTTGTGAATCCATAACAATTAACTTTAGAGTGAAATGGATGGTCTACATAATGTGTTATAAAATATACATTATTTTTAAAACTTAAAATCCTAATTTTTTCCACAATTATAATGGTCAAGGCTGAGATGGTCGATTTGAAGGTTTTCCAAAACCAGAACTACAATTTTCGGTGATTTTTGTGGCGAGACCATAGTTAGTAAGTCGGGGATTTTCAATAAATCGGCTTACCTTAAAATCAGGAAAAAATAGTTTTTATGTTAAAAAGTCGGATGAAAAAATTGGATAAAAAAATACGGATCGGCAAACATACTTCATGTAAAGACATTGCCAATATATCGGACTAGGCTAAAAAAATTGGAGTACAGAAATCGGATAAGTTAACAAAGATCACAACTACTTCATACCAAAAGAAAAATATACAATATAAATTTTTACATTAAATAATTTAACAAAGATCACAACTACTTTAAAAAAAAAAAGAAAAAAAAATACACCATATAAATTTTCACATTAAATACGTCAACAAATATCAAATCTACTTAAATATCAACATACCCAAAAAAAGCATATTTTTTTTTATAAATATCAAATCTATTTAAATATCAACATACCCAACATACACCACATAAATCTTCACATTGAATACTTCAACAAATTTCAAATCTACTTAAATATCACTATACCCAAAAAATAAAAAGGCACAATTAAATATCAACAAATATCAAATCTACTTAAATATCAACATACCCAAAATCTACTTTAAAAACCCAAATCTACTTAAATACTTTAGCAAATATCAATATACCCAAAAAAATGCACAATTTTTTTTTTATCATTAAATGCTTTAACTATGGTTAAGTCACTTATAACTATGGTTAATATAAAGGTTACTTTATACTTTATATAGTTGTTTTTATTTTGCTTCACAAAACCATTTGCGAGCTTGTTTCGGAAGACCTGAGAACAAGAAGAAGCTCGATAGAACTCTGTTCTCCCTTGATTTCACTGATAAGGAAGCTCGATAGAACAACAAGGTTTTTGGAAGACCTGCGTTTGATTGAAAACAGGGTATGCTTCTTCAAAATTGGGGATGGGGGCTGCTTTGTGAGTTTGGAAAAAACTCAAAATTGCGGATGGCGGTTTTCTCTGTTACAGAGAGGAAATCAAATGGGGTTTTTGGGGATGGGGGTTTTCAAGAACATGAAGATTATGAAATTTACAAGAACATGAAAATTAGGTTTGTTGATGGAAATAATACTTTTTTTCAGGAACATGAAGATTATAAAATATATAGGAACAGGGCTTTTCTCTGTTAGGTTTTTTTTTTTACGGAAATAATACGTTTTTTTTAGAAATTACACATGCGGAATTTTTTTTTTCTTATTTTTTTTAAAAAATACAAGTAAAAATACGTTTTTTTGGGCCCATTTAATTCGTTCTCCAAAAAAACGCGTTTTTAACTTTTTAATGAAAAAAGCACAATTTTTTGATGAACTTTTAAAAAAAATATCGTCTTAAACGTTTTTTAAAAAAAACACCGATTTTTTCAAAACATCGACAATTAATAGCCGATTTGCTAACTATGAGTGAGACTTAACTTATTTCAATAAGAATGTAGCCCTATCAAAGCATTTTTCTTTACTTATCCATGCCAAAATTAATCTCAGATTTGCTAACTATGAGTGAGACTTAACTTATTTCAATAGGACTTTAGCCCTATCAAAGCATTTTTCTTTTCTTATACATGCCAAAATTTTGGGTTCTCAAATGAATCCTATATGAGATTCTATTTGAGAAAGTGAGAGAGTAACTGGGGGTGGCAATGGCCCCGACCAGACTTGGGATCCGACGGAAGACCAGACTTTGGGTTCGGGTAGGAATCCAAATTTTGGACCCGAATATTATTAGGGTCCGGGTCGAGCTGAACCCACCTATACCTGAATATACGACGGCAATAATGTATCTTTAGACACGTGCTAGGTGTTCATATTATCACAATATTAGCAACATTTACAACATTATTAGCAACAAAATAAGCTTATAGTCATAGAATAAATGAGGGTAATAAAACAAAGAACAAAAAAAAAAACTCATAAGGGGTGGCAAGGGATCCGGCCAGATTTGAGACTCGATAGGTTGACAAGGACTTGCATGGGTCCAAATTTTAGACCCCAACACAATTCAAGTCTAGATCCGGATATACTTCTGAGTCCAACCGGACCCGACGCGACCCGTTGCGACCCCATATACTATCATAAAATCTAACGAAACAAATAAAATCTCAAAGAGGTCCCGGGATCTAAATCCTAGATTCCGACCAAATGGGTCCAATCCAATGGGCGTGGACTCCTAGACTGATCCACGTGGCATCCACGTATTATTACCTTGAAATCAAAAAAATTTAATGACGTGGAAAAGTCATCCCGCCAATCCGAGGGCCCATCTCTCTCTGTAGAATTTTTTTAGTATTACTCACTCTCTCTCTCTCTCCACCCCTGCAGTGACACGCGCGCTATGTCCCGCTCTCTTTCTCTCTCTAAAAAGTCTTCTTCCCTCTCTGTCTCCGACTCTCTCGCTCTAAATCTTCTTCCCTCTCCTTCTTCCTGTTCTCTCTCTAAAAATCCTTCTTCCAACTCTCTATCTCCTCTCTCACTTTAATCTTACCATTGCTCATATCTCTGTCCTGAACTCCATTCTTTCATTTCCCCTCTTCTTTCTCTCTGTAACTTCCGAAAAATGCGGCGCGCGCCCTATCAATTCCAAACCCGAATTCGATCCCTTCAATCCACAGCCATCGACCATGGCCCAAGACCTCCGTGCCTACTCAAAATGGCCTGGAACTTAAAGCAAGGAGCTCTTGCTTTAATAAGTAGACCTTCTTTTCAGAGGTTGCTATCGACAAGGGCTTCTGTCGGGGACAAACAAGAGGTCTCTTCTGATGAATCTAGGGTTTCACTTTCAGATGGAAATGGAAGCGTTAAAGGGTACGATTATCCAACGGGTGAGTTCGAGTTTGAGAAGTTCGACGGCTGGAAAAGGTTCGCGGTTAAGCTTAGGATGCTGATCGCTTGGCCATGGGAAAGGGTGAAGAAGGGCAGCGTCTTGCACATGAAGATTCGTGGCCAGGTATGATACCGAAATTTTACTTGTCTTGCCGGAATTTCGCTAAATTTTGCGGTGTTCAATAGGCCAAAGTTTGCCGAAAATATTTGGCACCCGTGAGTGCAGGAATTTCAGTTTTTTTTGGCCAAAATTTCCTGTGAACATAGATGATGGACAAGCCACTGGGTTGGGAATGTCGATTTTGGGTGACGAACACGAAACGGAAATTTCGTCCCAAAGATTACTGGACATGTCCGAAATATTCTTAATCCGAATTACTATATTACCCTTAACATGGAGAAGAATTGCCTGAGTTTCAAACCAGTTGCATTTTTTTTTTTTATCTCCTTTTGGATGTTGTGGGGTGTTTTCTCTGTTCACTTTAGGATAAATCTCAAATGGGGTGTCTTGTACATTTCATAATTGTGTTGGGTTATTCTGGTCATTTCATAAATTATTGTTTTCCGTCGTTTTTACTCGAAGACTGGTCGTCTCTCTCTTGGACATCAAGAAAGGAATATATTAGTCCTCTTTATGGTTTGGTTTTTTTTTTTAATTTTCTTTTAAGCTCCAGGGGTGATGGCTTCCCAAAATGAAAAAAGGAATATTTTGGTCTCTACAATTGTGGCTTCTATAAGTATTTATGCAAATTTTACTTGTACTTATTTATGAAAAAAGTTTATATAAGTGTAAGGCTCTAATCAATCAAATTAAAGCGCACCTCATATGCTTCACTCAAGATGCATGTACATAAAAAAAAAGTAGATTTTAAATTTTGGAAATAGTGCATCTTGTAGTGTAGTTTTGGACAGTCAACTTTTAAAGTTTTTAAGTTTTCATTTATATGCTCGATCTACCCTATTTTTTAAGCTTTAAATTTTATAATTAGAAATGAAAATATATTTCAAGACTATCATAAAGATTTCTACCATTGAAATTATATTTCTCAACATTATTTGAAGGTGCTCTTTACTTTGATGGTTTAGAGCCTCGGCTTTATACAAACGGCATTACTAAAGGATAATTTAACTCGTATGATATTTGTAGGCTACATTTTGGAGTGTAACTCTAGTTTTATTGGGCTTCTCATCTGTTGTATATCGTTATTTGTTGCTTTTGATTTATGCATTAGCTTATTTTTTGGAACTGTATGCATTAACTTCACTAGCCTAATTTTGGCTTTTATTTATTTAGATCTTTGATCAGCTACAAGGACGTTTCTCTTCCAAGTTATCTCTCCCTCAAATATGTGAAAATTTTATAAAGGCAGCTTATGATCCTCGTATCGCTGGTATATATCTTCAAATTGAGCCCCTTAATTGTGGATGGGGGAAAGTTGAAGAAATTCGAAGACATATTGTCGATTTTAAAAAATCAGGTAGTTTGGTTATTCAAGTATCTTTTGCATGTTTTAAAATGTTCTTGCGAGAATGCTTTGCTTGAGAAGTTAACTTCCTCAAGTAAAAAAAAAGGGGCAAAAAAAGGAATGCTTTGCTTGAGTTGTTTGTTTCATATGAGCTCCCGTTTCTAGATTGGATTTCCTGCTCTGGATCTTGTGATATTTGTTAGCGGTTCTTTTGGTATAGATAATTCTATCCACTGCTTTTGTGTAGGATTCTCTATATTCTGTTGAGAAATAGATTGGTCTTTGGGGTTTGTTCTTTGGTTTCCATAGTTCCATGCATGATACATTGGTTAGTTGTAAACAATTTTTAAATTGAAGGTTTTCTTACATTATATCTCCTGGGAAATTTTGTAAATACGTTTTCTATTGTGTTGGTTCAGGAAAATTTATCATCGGTTATGTCCCTCTATGTAGAGAGAAGGAGTATTACCTTGCTTGTGCATGTGGGGAACTTTATATGCCTCCAGGGGCTTATATAGGTTTATTAGGTTTGAAGGTTCAAGCGTCATTTCTTGGTGGTAAGTTATTTTCTTTGAGCATATAATCATGTCCAAAACTTGGCAAATTTGTAACCAAATTATAAAATAAACATGTGAGTATATTGTGACAGTAAGAGGGATTTGTTTTTTCTTTTGTAATGTGTATTAGATCATTCTGCTAAATGAAGAAGCAGGTAATACCAGGAATGAACAGATAAGTTGCCTCTCATATTATTGGTAATCTTAAAGACTAAAACTGTCGTGGTAACTAGAATATGCACACGACTTGATAGAAGATATGTAAGGATTGTTGGATTTATCCATATTTATTTGTTTTTATATTCTTCGGGATTTAGGAATGAATCATATTCAAATAAAGTGTTATAAGTCGTGATGGGATAATATATGCGATTAAAAACCGAGTGCCTAGAATTATATATGTCAAGGAAATGAGAAAGAATACTTCCATTTATAACATGATTGCTATGCAATTTTTCTTCTTGGCATCAAATGATAAATGTTATGAGTTGCAGGACAATTTTATCCTTTTAGGGTGGTTAACATTATCCTTTATAATGGTTCATGGGCTGATCAATTGGCCAACCATCTTTAGCCTTTTTCTCTAATAGCATTAGTTCTATACAATAGGCAACAGAGCTCCTGGCTTAGGCATGCGTTAAAACCATCTTTGAATATTTATTGTTGCTTAGCAAGTAAAATTGAAAACTTCCTTACCCTGCGGGCATACAATGTATTTAATAGGTTATTCACCTAAAAAAAATAAAATAAAGTATATCTATAGATTTACTATTATATTACATTACACTTTCATAATGCATATTTTCAACATGCGTGACTTGCTCTTTTAAAGTACTGGATTGGGTTTCAAATCAGCTGTTAAAGATGCTTCTTCTATGTATAATAGGCAACTCAGTGACAACTGAACCATGCAGGAGTCTTTGAGAAAGTGGGAATTGAGCCACAAATACAACGTATCGGAAAATATAAAAGTGCCGGTGATCAACTCTCAAGCAAGAGCATGTCAAAAGAAATCTGTGAGATGCTCACTGCATTACTTGACAACATTTATGGAAACTGGTTAGACACAATTTCATCTACTCAAGGTGCAGTATTAGGTCGTGGAAATATCTCTTTGTATAATTTTCAATTATGCCAAATTAGACTTCTTTGCTTAGAACATCCATATCCCTAGGTAAGAAGCGGGAGGACATCGAGAAACTGCTCAATGAAGGAATTTATCAGGTGGAAAGCCTGAGGGATGAAGGTTGGATCACAAACATCAGTTATGATGACGAGGTTCGAAAATTGTCGTTACTATGGTATCCATGAAGCAATTCTTGTTTTTAGAGTATCACCAACATTTATATTTGTTTCTTTAAGGGTATCCTTTCTTCCTTGAATTGTGTAGGATAGATGTCCATCAAGGAAGTTTTCAAGGATCTAATGATAAAATTACTGTCTCCTTTGTTCTGAGAACATATAAACCTTACTAGAAAGTCAGATATGAAACAATGCAAACTCTTGCATGCTAGTGTGATCCATGTTGGGTGTCCTTCATTCTTTAAAATTGTATCAGTTCATTGTTCATAGAAAAATAACATCCTGAAGTTTGAGCTCTAGAATAGTAGCTAATGTTCTTAGGAGGACAGGAAATATCAATAATATCTAGTATTGTGGAAAATTAGCCTACCATTATCTGATGTTCTTAAATCTAGATGCAGGCTTGTTTCAATTATTACTTGGATGATTTTTTATTCCAATATATGGTGATAAGTTGTCTACTACTGAAAAACAAACATTAAACAGTTCTAACCAGAGAAAACATTGTGACATGGTTTCCTCGCCTATGCTTTCAGTTCCCTTCCTTTCCAATCTCATCCCCACCTTACCGGTTTTAACTTGTTTATGTTGTATTAGTTATTCTTTTCTGGATATTCTGCCCTCACTTATGATGATGCTATTGTAGGTGGTTTCAATGCTAAAAAAGAGATTGGGGCCAAGTAAAGAGAAAAATCTTCTCACAGTTGATTACAGGTACTTGTCCTTTTAGAGGTTAGAGAAAACTTGTTGATATGCATAGAATTTTTATGCCATGTCCTTTTATCCTTGGATTACATGAAGAAAGAAAATTGTCTGCAATGTTGTAATCCTCGTAATGTTCTTGTGTGCTTTTATATTAGCAAGACAAACTTCTCACTCTTCATTCCTGAATAGGAAAAGAATACACTAATCACACGACAATCCCTGATCCAAACTCTTTGATAAACTTAATGTAGGTTGCCTTTTCTCAAAAAGGGAAGATTTCCTTCGTCTTTGTGACCATTGCAAAGGATTTGAATACTAGCTACTAACCCTTCCCCACCTCCATTTTTTTTGCTACACTTTTCCATTCGTCATTCATTGTAACTTGCTGGTACATTCTAGTTTACAAATAATAGTAATTGAGTGTTGGGACCTTTGAATCCATCAATGCTGCTTCCATTTCATCAAATGCTAATCAGGTTTCTTTTTTTTGGACAGTGGTTTCTGTATGCTTTTCTGGCATCTTATGAAAAATCGTCATGTATCTGCAACCCTCATTGTTTACTAGAACATATTTATGAGCCTTGGTCATATTTCTTGCAGGAAATACTCGAGAGTCAGTAAATGGACCCTAGGATTGACAGGGGGAACTGACCAAATTGCTATAATAAGAGCTTCTGGAGGCATTAGCCGTATTCGTGGCCGCTTCAGTGTTCCTGAGAGAGGTATCATTGGTGAACAGTTCATTGAGAAGATCCGTAATTTACGAGGTATGTAATTCTGCTATTTAAATTGCATTAAGATACTTTTATTGAAGCAGTAAATAGGTGAGTTGGGGCTCACCTGGGTGGAGGTGAGAGACCTTTGGACCATCCAATTAAAAACCTCATGGGTGCATGGAATGGGACCAGCCAAAGCAATACAGAGTGGGTCCCGTCTTCTCTCCCTCCATTACCAAATATGGCAATTTATTTATTGTTAAGGTTGATTTCTCTTTAGAACTACTGAATTTTGTAACCCGTCATAATTTCCAGATTTGGCATTAATTGTTACCATCTAGATATTATGAATATTGGCAGGTTCTACATTAAACTATTCTTCATATGAGCACTTCTTTGCTTTCCTTTTTCAGAGTCAAAGAAATATAAGGCTGTGATCTTAAGAATTGACAGCCCAGGAGGTGATGCTCTTGCTTCAGATTTGTAAGTATCAATTTTAATTGTGGGTTTGTTCTTGATAGGGTGAACCTTTTTTTTGCATGAATTTAGATGGCAATGGTACATCAGAGGACTTCAAAATACTTTTTTAGCAGAGCTATCATGTCTGAATCATGGAATATTCATCTTGACAAAAAAGGATCCATATGGTAAGATATATATGACAAGGGTAGGGCTATAGCTCAGTTAGGTAGAGCACCTCGTTTACATGCACGCCAATGTTTTTTCAGGGGAGTCCTTCATGCAAACAAGGGTATTGATCTGAGAGATCGATGTCTACTCCATTTATTCTAGGAAACAAGGGGACAATAGCCCGACAAATATTAGTCTTAGTCCTACTTTTAAGATTGTTGGATTGAAATCCACATTATAACTGGCATGTGTCTTCTGTTGTGAGCAATATATCTATTTTAAGTGTGGTGTACATGGAATACCCATTACTTATATTTCATCTTTTGCTTTCATATAGAATCATTTGTTGTTTTCAATACCAAAAGTATGTGACAATGAAGCCTTCACATTACTTCCACTCTCTGAGAAGAACAGTGAATAACAAAGTGGGAAACCCCATTTTGCCTGTGATGCAGCGTTCTTTGCTGCTCCATGGATGTAACTGAAAGGACCCACTTTCCGCTACATTTGGTCATGATTCTTCGTGAAAGCATGAGAACCTGTTACTGGGTGACTTCTTGTAATTTCAGGATCAAATCTGGGATGCCATGTGTATCGTCATTTGCGTTTGAAGATTTACCATGTTTTGGTCAATGATGAGATCTAGGTCGAAAGTGAAAGAAATAATAAAAAGTTCTCGCTGTCCTTGATTTATTGCAGAATGTGGAGGGAGATCAGGCTTCTAGCTGAATCTAAACCTGTGATTGCTTCCATGGCTGATGTAGCTGCCAGTGGAGGTTATTACATGGCCATGGCAGCAGGAGTGATAGTTGCAGAAAGTCTTACGTTGACAGGTTCAATCGGAGTTGCTACAGGCAAGATTAGTAACTTACTGACAGTTAAGAAACATGCAGTAACTTTCTAGTTGTCAATGATTAAATAGTCGGGATGAGCTAGTTTTCTTACTGAAATGATTAGGTCACACTGCAATTCGAAAATGAGGTACCTTTCTACCTTTTCTGGGTTTCACTTTGTTGATTACATAACAGTATTCGGCAACCATGCTAGTTTAGATTGCTTTAATACCATTCCAGTTCAAACCACATGCAAAAGATTTAGAATTTTGATTACATGCACATGTAAAAAATTAGGACTGTCCTATAACAAAACTACCTCAAAAGGTATGGTTAATAGAAAACCCAAAAAATTCCCTGGGATTGTTTAGAAAGTTCACCTTAGAAAAGTTTATTTATGTCAATTTTAGATATCTGTTGTCCTATTTCTGATTACCTATTTCCTTTCTCATCCAGAATCTTTATTACTCTTACACGTTACCTTGTAAAATTCCTTTTGTGCATGCCTAAGAGTTAGTGATTTCGTAATGCATGTGGGAAATCGGACTGTTGATATACCCAGTTAATGCCATGACTTCAATCACACCCGTATAATTGGCAACTTTATCAAAATTGAGTGGTATCACATGACCTATGACAAATAAGGGTCCTTAGTGGGAGTGTTAATGAGTGCTCAAAGTAAGAAAGTTTGTCATTGGGGATTGCCTTAGAAACACCAAGGAGTGTAAGATTTTGGAGTTGGACTACTACCTAAGTATGAGGTTCCTGCAATTGGGCCTCGAATATTTCCATTCTAATATCATGTAAAGAGTGGGTAAATGCCTTAGTCTGAATATTATAAAAAGGTTTCTAATTCACCCTATCTGCGTACAGCACAATTATACCTTATATGTGCACTTCAAATATTCGAGATTGTAGTTTGTCTTTTATTGATAAATGAAAGTCCATGCCATGTTATTATTCATGAAGGGAAATGAAAGCTACATGTCCATTGAAGGTATAGACCTCGTTTTGCCATGATTGGTCATTCAGCTTGTTGTGAATCTTTTTATCATCCTATAGTTAGTGTTAGAATTAAATCTTTCCCAACTGCAAGAATCTTATGAGGGACATCTAAGGTCTCTAGCATAGTTCATAAACCCATGTTTTAAAATTTTACGAGTAGTGAATTTATGATGCATGAATATTGTCATATTGAAAATTTAACAGAAAACCAAGATTATATAGAATCTCAAGCCTGTCATTTTCTTTTGTTTTGTTTTTTTGTCTAAGTGATGTTAAATCTTTCATGGAATCAGAAATGTGGATATTAGTCGATCTGTGGAAAGAATGTATCTCCGATAAAGACAAATAGAAAAATCTTCATGAAGAATTATAGTTACATTAAACTGTTTTTTATTGTGTGTGAACTTTGAATAAACAGGAAAATTCAGCTTAAAGAATTTGTATGAAAGGATTGGTTTCAACAAGGAGACAATATCAAGAGGCAAATATGCCGAGCTTGATGATGATCAGCGACCATTTAGGTGAGATGACTCATTTTGATCATTGAGTTGGTCAGAAAGATGCAACTCGTGATTCGAGTCCTTAGAGATTTAGTGAATTATTTTATCTCGTTGCATTGCACATTTCCATTTTGAGGGAATCAACCACCCGTTGAACAACCAGCATGAAATTCTTATTATAAGCACATTTGCAGAGGTCAGAGCGTCTGAGTTCCAAACTCTTCACAGAGTTTTACAATTAATCTAATGTCGGAAGCATTGAATTTGGTTTATTGGCTTGGTGGTTAGGACCATAGGGAGCCATGGCACAATGTATGTGGTTCAAATCCCAACCAACCTATGCAAATATAAAAATGACGAAGTTACAAGTAGAAAATGATGAGGGTATCGACAATAGAGAAGATTAATCCAAGGATGAAGTTTCCATAATTTAGTGGAAAACTGACAAAATTGAACCCAGAAATATTCAGCTAAAACAAGAGGTGATCCTGAAGTTCTCAATCTCACCTGGAAGTAGTGTTTCTCTTTTTGCGATAAGAGAAAGTTCTTTTGTTAATATTTGTCACATCTGGGGATGATCCATCATCATAATGAATTCCATTAATTATTTTAATTAAAAATTTAAAACATTCTGATTCATGTAGTTACATAAAATGGATTTTCATTCTCACAATTGACCATTTTGATCAATTCCTAGAAAAATATTCCATTTCCTAAATATATAATGATATGCCAAATCCTTTCCTTATCAAATCTTCAGATTGAAATCCACAATAGGCATTTGAATTTACAGGGCTGAATTATAAAGAAAAAACAAAATGCAAATTGACTATGGGAGAAACATGGTCTATTGGGTCACTGCTGTCAACTGAAATGATGGATGGTGATGAAGAGAGATGGCAATCCACCATCGAGACCTTGTTCTGGTTGCTTCCACTCTTCATCACCATCTATTACAACTGAATGCATACTGATGGACCACTGTTCTCCATAGTCCATTGGATTGGTATACTTTCCCAGACACATGGGACTGATGATAGATTTTTGGTCTCTTTTTTTTTGTTTTTTTTTGAAATTACAGGCCAGATGAGGAAGAACTGTTTGCCAAGCTTGCACAGAAGATATATAAGCAATTCCTAGACAAAGCAGCTTTGTCAAGATCAATGACTGTATGCTCATAACCATTTAGACTTGGGATTATAGTGTTTGCTTGTACTTTTCACCTTTTATGCTCTTTTGAAGATTATCACCATGTATCAACTCGTTCTTCTAGGTAACTAATTTTATAAAATGAAAATGTTAACAAAAAGGCAAAAATATTGGTTTCTCTATATCATATTTACAGAAGGCAAATCTTCTGATCTTTTAGGTGGATCAGATGGAAGCGGTAGCACAAGGCAGGGTGTGGACAGGCAAGGATGCTGCTTCTCGGGGTTTGGTGGATGCAATTGGAGGTCTATCCCGAGCAGTTGCCATTGCAAAACAGAAGGCCAACATACCAGAAGATAGAAAGGTTGGTGTTTCTCTTCAAATCACTAGCAGAGTCCGGTGTTGTTGTGAAAGACCAAAATAATATGCTTAAATTTTTCAAAGTGCTATGATATAAAAAATGGACAAAATCACTCTCAGCCTTCATGCACTCTCTTTTCGTACTACCCTGTTTTCTCCAGAGTACATATTCCTTGTGTATGGTGTATGATACATGGCTAGGGTGTCCATCCATCATCTGTTGTCAACAGCAGATTCTCAACAATGGATGGTAATCTTTGGTCATAGGGAACTGCAACTAGTCTCCACCGTCCATCCATGAGAAATCAATGGTACATGCCCTGTCTATGTACCATGTACAAACTCTGTATAGTACATGTAACCTTTAGAATATCAATATTGTGTGGTGGATGTGCCTTTTATTTTACTCTTGATGATAATAATAATAAAGGCGATCAAACTACTAGAAAATAAAATAACAAAGAAATGGTCACACATGAAAATATGTGACGTTTTGGTGAATTTATTTGGGCATTTGGTCACTTATATTACTTTCTCTTGCCATGTTTGGGATGTTTCAAGCATTTTTGCTTTTGTAATTCAATCTGTTGATCCATTTCATTTCAACATCCGAGCTGACATTTGGATTGTGTTTCTTACTTGTCTCATTTGGACTCAGGTCACATTGGTTGAGGTAACAAAAAGCCGACCTTTCGCAGAGGTTGTTGGTGGAATATTTGCTTCTTTTCTAGGGCTGGATGGATCAATGAAGGACCTATGGCATGAGCTCTCATCTTCCGAAGGAGTTCAAGCCCGAATGGATGGCATTATTCTTGAAGGGATTGAGTCCTCTCCTTTAGAGGATTCCATTTTATCATTGATTAAAGATTACCTGAGCTCTTTTTGATCAGGGTTTCCTTTTTGTTGATCCTCACAAAATGGTGATTTGATTTTACTTGGGATTTGGTGAATTCTCTGATGCAATATTTGATAATTATACGATCAATTTTGTGTTATAGTAGTTGCCATGATGCACCATGTATATAGATACGGTCATTGTGCATGCAATTTGCAAAGTCTGTAACTTATGGCCTTTTAAGTGCCTCGCCAGAAAGCAAACAGTTAATGCACTTCATGCTCCTGGATTTGAGATAGCTCTCTCTCTCACACACACACACTCACACTCACATAAACACGATCTCTCTCTCTCTCATACACACACACGAGCGCACAATCACAAGTACACTCACGCACCCCAAGTCTGCTATTACTGCTATTATTGTGAGCGAAATTGGGTGAAAAGCTCCAAATATTGCTGTTTATAATTAGAGAAAAGATGTTGATACCATATACTTGATGTGAAGTTCTCTAAGAAATGATCTTATTTTGAGAGAGAAAGAGACAGCAAGCATTTTATTACGTAAAAAAAAGTATACACCAAAACCCCCACAAAATTATGAATCTAAAAAAAACAATCAGTTTCCAATGCATTGTTATTCTCAAACAACAATAGATTTGCTAGCTTTGGGTTCTTCTCCAAAGCATCTAAAACTGATGCATTAGAGCACAAAAACAGCAAATTGGTTAAAATTTAATATGTGGGTATAGACATTAAATAATTCAGACATGAATATAACAAAGGCCAACTTATATTTGGGAATAAAACCCAGAGTCCGTAATTTCTTGGTTAAAATTTAATATGTGGGTATAAACATTAAATAATTCAGACATGAATATAACATAGGCCAACTTATATTTGGGAATAAAACCCAGAGTCCGTAATTTCTTGCCAGCCAATTACAAGTTAACCACTTTTACAGTTCTCCATTTGAAGATGCAGCATTCTACTCCAGCTTTTGAAGATGCAGGCTTAATTTTGTGCCTGTCTTGTCTCACCATACACAACCTCCGAACGATACCATTTAGTTTATCACCGGTAGAAAAAAGACCGTTCATGGTAGAAAATGGAGCACAATGTACATGCTGCTTTAGAAAAGCAATTCTCGCTGCTTCCATTACCTATTGACCACACACAAATCAATGTTAAAAATCTCATTTAATAGAAACAAAATTCAAACAAGATAGGAAAGTGTATTGCTCTTTCCTTTTGTGAGGAGAATGAAACAAGATATGAAAGTGTATATTGCTCTAACAAAATAGAAAAATGTGTATTACATTGTATCACCATTATATATACATTGAAAATAACTACTACAAATTAGTCTGGGCACAATTATCTTTTCTAAAAGTTCCTTTCTTTCTCTAAAAGTCTTTACCATTTTCTACAGTGAGAAGTGCAGTTATGACCACAGTTCAACTGGGAACAAAATCATTCCAATTTTGTATAGCTACAAAACATTAATACTATATTCAAAACTCAAGGAACAACAATAACAAAAGAAAGTCAGCCATAAAATGAGAAAGAAGTGTGAACAAACACCAAGTAGGTTCAAGACCATGTGTAATGCAAGAGAGTTATCAACATCAACAGCTGACTTACCATCCCAAGAAACAAAAATGGTTTAATCAGCAACGAACTTCATATTTTTTTGGCCTATAGTTAATTGGAAAAATAAGATGCAATTATAATAAGTGGCAATTACATTTGTTAATCACTTGTTATTGAGTGCATTTTGTCGTTGAAATCAGAATCGCAAGTAAACATATCAGAAAAATTTCATATGAAAAAAAGGAATAAAAAAGACATATTAGCAAAATTTGTGAAATTCTTTAGTCCATGTGGAGGCATCCAACACCAAATCAGGCATATGCATATAACAAACTATGTAACATCTAATGAAATATGTAGAAATCATAATACTTACAGAGATTTTAAGAATGTGCTTCAAGCCAGTTTAGTCACTGAGTCAATGTACACAAAGGAAGTTCAGCGGTTTCAATCACGTTCTCTATAAGATAGTTATTCCCTGAAAAAAAGTTGTGGAAGATCTATGCCTAAAGCACATCCTATCACCAATAATAGCCAACTATAATTTGACTTTTCAACCATGGGTGCAATACATAGTAAATAAAACACTACTAACTATATAATCCAAAAAAAGGACAAATTCACATTCTCAAAAAAATATTTATCGTGATCCAAACTTTATCCTAATTATTCGAGGTCAGCTATATGAATCCTATTCCTCCATTCTTCTCAACATATGTTCAGGTTTTGATGATGAGATGTGACAAAGTTTTAGGGGCCATTTGGGTAAGTGAAAATCTAATACATTACTATAGATTATAAGGAAATATGACATTTACACGGATACGCTTTAATAGTAAGAAAATGGAAACACAGAGATTACTCGAGATTTCTCCAAAAATCACAAAATCCATAACGCGCGGTGAGGGGTGAAAAATCTATTATGAGGTTGACGGTTAACTTTTGGAAATCTTTTAGCGTGCCGTTCTATACCTTATGCCCGCTTAAAAAAACATTTTCGTCTCTAAGTGTACGCTATATTGTATAATTATTAAGGTAGGTATCAAGTCAAAGTCAGAGATATGAAAAGGGGAATCTAAATTGATTTGAACAGGTATACGAGGACAATTTTCTACTGTAATCACAATAAAAAATTTCTAAATCCGTCTATCTCCAATTGGGTTGTTTCCTCTTGATGAGGAACAATTTTCTATTGCAATCATAATAAAAAAATTTCTACATCTCTCTATCCCCAATTTGGGTTATATCCCGCTAGTAGTTCTTGTATAAAAACAAAAATAATAAAAATAATAATTGGTAATAGATGAAAAATTACACACCACAATCATAATAAAAAATTTCACACTAACATTTATAAAAACAAAAATAATAAAAATAATAATTGGTAATAGAAGAGAAATTGCATAACACAATCATAATAAAAAATTTCACACAACATATCATCAGAGTAAAAGTTCAATTGAATAAGATCCCTCTTTAGCCTCTTCCGATACTTCAAAATTTTATAGTGTAATTACGAAACCTTCTAGTTTACTAAATAAAATTCTTCTCATTTTTTAACTTGTACCAAGATTTTGATTTTGGTATCATAAATTTATTGCTTATTTGAAATTATATATAAAGAAACATTTGAAAAACTTCTATAAAAAATAAATAAAAATAAGGCTTATCACAATAAAATCATGTTATTCCAATCATATTATTCTAATGACTTATCATGTTCAAACCAAAGTCTAATCATGTTAGTCAAACATAGCCATATTTTGCATATTCAGATGGTAATGCATTTCTCATATTTCTTACGGACATAGCCAAACAATAACAATGTGTTTCCCAAGTTGCATCTAAATACTATAATCTATTTGCAGGTAACATATTACGTGGTATTGTATTATGCCCATAATATATTTTACTGATAATATATTTCTAGGTTGCATCTAAATACTACCCAAATGGTGACAATCCATTTGCAGATAACATATTACGTAGAAATGTATTACGCCCATAATATATTTCACCGACAATATATTTCCAAGTATCCAAACGGCCCCTAACCCACCTCCTTTACCCAAGCTTGGGACAGGTTAAAGGAAATTTGAATTTTGAGTTTTTGACACTTAGATCTTGCCATTAAAAAATTAGACTGTCTTTGTTCAATCTTGAGACATTATCTTTTTCTAATTAATTAAGAGTTCAAGTTGTTGTTATTGTTATTGTTATTATTATTATTATATGAAAATTAGTCTATGGGTTGAAGAGGCTACCTCCATAAAATTAGGGTTCCTAAAATTGCGCCAGTATTGGGTTTTGCCCAAGGGACAAATGGACGATATACTCCGGCGAGAGTATAAAATCTTTTGGCTTTAGAGTTTCTCAAATCTAATCAAACAAATAAATCTTAAAGAGTGGGTATACTATGCTCACGAGGGAACATGGTGTACATCCACTCCGTTGGTGAAAAGACATCCTTGGGAGTAATTTTTCAGTTTGAAATTTTGGGAACCCTTGAGAATCCCTAGCTTATTATTCTAAAAAGCAATTTGAGTTTTTTAACACTTAGATCCCACCCTCTAAAAATTAGATGATATCTATTTAGTTGCGAGACATTATTATTTTTAAGTGTACCGAGGGTGAAATTAAGAAATCTTTTATAAAGAATACGGTTTCTACAAGGCTTAGGGCATTATGAAAACAAACTCGGATCCTCGTTTGGAAAGCATTTTAGTGCTCTAAAATCAATTTTCAATACCAATTATGAAATATGAAGCGCAAAAAATGGTACATAACTTGTCGATCCATTAATACTTAATTTTAGGGCAAAATGGATGGTCTACATAATTCGTTATAATATATATTATTTTTAGAGCTTGAAATCCTAATTTTTTTTTACAATCATAATGGTCAAGCTTGAGATGATCGATTTGAAGGTTTTTCAATACTAGAATTATAATTTTTAATAATTTTTTACTTTACTTATTTTAATAAGAAATTTTTTTATATAAGGTTGCAACCTTAAAATATAGAATTAAAGATGCACCTCAAAAATCCATAATAAGAGGTTGTTTGGATGTTGGAAAACCCTCTAATTGATCATCTTGACATCGATATGTATGAATATGAAAAGAAAAAAACATTTTGAGTCCGTGAATAATGTATTTTATAACATATTATTTGGACAGTCTATTTTTAAGATTTTCATATGTTTATAGATCTTCTTGATTTTAACAATTTATAAAATTTAAAATTTTATAATTAGAGGTAAAAATAGATTCTCAAATCATCCGAAAAATTATTGAAATCAAAATTACATTTATGATAAAATTTAGAGGAACGTCTTAATTGAATTGTTTAAGGTTACAACCTTATGCAAACCGTACCCATTTAATAAAGTTGAAACCCTATCTTTTTTCTTCTTCTTAAAGATAGGGGTGAGAATGGACCCGAAAGTGTGAGAGTAACACATATACTCCCGCCGGAGTTTCCCAAAATCCAACGAAACAAATAAACTTTCAGAGTGGCTCCGGGATAAAAAATCCTAGATTCCGGCCAAACGGGCGGTCGCTCGCGTGTGAATTCCTAGACCATCGGTGTGGCATCCACGTGTTATTGCCATGTGATCCAAAAAATGAATGGCGTGGAGCAACCCAAACCCCTCTCTCTCTCTCGTCTTTGTTACTCTTTCTCTCTCTCTTTCTCTCACTTTAAAGTTTAAACTTACTATTGCTTGTATCTCTATTCTGTCATTTTCCCTCATATCTCTCTGTAACCTCTGAAACACAAGAAATGCTACGCTCCAGGCGCTCGCCCTATCAATTCCAAACCCTAATTTCATCCACTCAATCCACAGCCATCCACCATGGCCGAAGACCTCCATGCCTACTCAAAATGACCTGGAATTTCAAGCAAGGAGCTCTTGCTTTCGTAATTAGACCCTCGTTTCGGAGGATGCTATCGACTAGGGCTTCTGTTGACGAGAAGGAAGAGGTCTCTTCTGATGAATCTCGGGTTTCACCTTCAGATGGAAATGGAAGCGTTAAAGGGGACGATTATCCAACGGGTGAGTTCGAGTTTGAGAAGTTCGACGGCTGGAAAAGCTTCACGGTTAAGCTTAGAATGCTGATCGCTTGGCCATGGGAAAGGGTGAAAAAGGGCAGCGTCTTGCACATGAAGATTCGTGGCCCGGTATGGTTCCGGTCTTGCCGAATTTTGACGAAAGTTTGTGGTGTTCAATCGCCCTGAAAAATATCTGGGGGCATGAGTGCGGAAATTTCAGTTTTTTGGCCGAAATTTTGTGAAAATTTTCCGTGAACATACGTGATGGACGATTGGGTTGAGCATGTCGATTTCCGGTCACGAAACTGAAATTTCGTAGCTAACTTCACTGGAGATATCCGAAACATTCCTAGTCCGAATTACTGTTTTACCCCTAACCTAGTGAAGAATTGCCTCGAGTTTCAAAACAGTCGCCGGTTTTGTTTATTTCTCTTTACATGGTGGGAAATGTTTTTAGGTCACCCAACAACATATAAGTTATATGCACTCCACTTATTAGCCTATCGTTTATACCACAATGTCATGTCAAACACTGTTTTATTTTTATTTTTTTTCTATCAAACGATTTTTTTATGAAATTTTGGACGTCCCATCGGACAATTAGGGCAAGCATGCAAAGAAAATATTGTAGGTAAAAATAAATGACCAAAATGCCTTTATAATTTTTAGGGGTATCTAGGTAAATTTTCATCATTGGATTTTTTTTAATTTTTTTTTATCACGTGTTCCCTTGTTATCCATGCATGCCTCAAATTTTGGTTTAAAATTATTTGTAGAATAAAAACAAAATTTAAAGAACTGTCTGATCAACATTTGATGATTAAGTGTTAGCTTGTAACTCAAGCCATCTTAGCCATCAAATCTGATGATCTCAACCATCAAGTCAAATGTGATGGATGAACCAGGTGGAGTCACATATAAAGCCCTCCGATGTTGTTGGCGGGTGTTTTCTTTGTTCACTTTAAGATAGATCTCAAATGGGTGCCTTGTACATTACAGAAATGTGCTGGGGCATTCTGGTCATTTTGGAAATTATTATTTCTATTCTTTTTCAAACTGCTGTGTTTTGGTTCTCTTCCTTGGATTTCAAGAAAGGAATATATCATTCTTTTTCTTTTTTTTTTTCCCCTTTTGAGCTCTAGGGATGATGCTCTACCACAATGAAGAAAGGAATCTTTTGGTCTCTAAAGTTGTGCTTTATATATATATATGTATTTATACAAATTTTATGCATAAAATTGAGATTGTTTACAAAGAGACTTTTTACCTTTTTGTACAACACTCAAATTAGATGGCTTGGGTGAGCCCGAGATTTTTTTTTTTTTTTTTGGCAACTTTGTGTCTTCTCAAACACTCTTACAACCACCCATTTTGAAATCCAAGAGACAAGAATTATTATGATCTCTTTGTACAAAGGTAAATGGTATTTTTGTAGACAATCTTTGTAAAATTAGTGGAAAAGATCTCTATGTGATCCCACCCTCTATAAATTATATGTGATCCCACTTCTTAGCTATTCGATCTGTGTGGATAGTTAGGATGGCTCGTGACAATATCACGTTAAATTATTGTATTTTTTTATATTTTTTTACAAAATATTTGGAGTGAAATTTGGGGTGTCCCATCTTTTTAATGAGGGGCATCTAGCAAAAGCCAAATTTGTTTATAAAATTAAATGATCAAAATGCCCCCAAAAGTTTTAGGGGTATTTTGGTAAATTTTCATTATAGGAAATATTTGTGCACATCTGTCAGATATATGCGTGCCCAAAATTTTGTTGCAAAATGATTTATATAATAAAAATTAAAAATAAAACACTCTATGGTGTCGGATCAAATTTTGACGCTTAAGACGACATTATGACTCAAGCCACCCCAGCCATGTACTTAGATTTGACAGCTGAGATCAGAGGTCAAATATGCTTTATATGTGGGTGGAGTCGCATATAAAGCTTTCCCTATTACTAAAGAATAATTTAATTTGTGTGATATTTGCAAGCTACAATTTGGAGTGTAAGTCTAGTTTTAAGTGAACGCCTTAAGAATGCTAACAGCAGAGCATAAGAAAGTGTTTTATGACAAATACTCGACGAATTCATCTGTTTCATTTTACCAAATTTCGGCTGTTTTGAATATCACTTAATTGTATTTTAAAGTTTTTCAATTATTTAAAACCCACCATTCATAGAGAGGAACTTTGGTCCTTGAACTGTAAGAGATGATTTTGACTTTTTTCTTAAGGAACATTTGGATGAAGAAGTAACATTTGGAAAAGTTTCAATTTGGGAAACGGGGTTTGGTGTCTCTCAGTAGAGATTATTAAAATTTAGACAGAGAAATATGGAGGAGTTTAAATTGCTGATATGATCATCAACATCTGAGCCTTTTTCCAACTATTTGAGGTTGACTAGAATGTTGAAGTGATGATATCCTAAATTCACAGCCATAAGGAAATTCTTTATTGTATAGGATTGATATTGATATTTGATAAGTTTCCTAGGAAATCCATTGAACTTTCTTATTCGCTACAATTATATTATATAAGAAATTCGAGGAAAAGAATGTTATTTGGCTACAAATATATTATATAAGGAATGCGAGGAAAAGAATGTGTGCCGCATTTGGTGGCATGATAGAGGAAATGTGGCTTCTTCTTGGGAGTGAGGCATGGGTCTGTTGCATAGAGAGGCAAGACCTTCACATTGAGTGAAGTGAGCTTTCTAGAGAGGGAAATATTAAGATGATGGCTCCTTTAGAGTGACAAGCTGATTCTTGCTAAGAAGCAATTCCATGGAGAGTTTGGGTGGTATCTCTTTTAGTGATGACCCTCTATTGCTTTCAAGGTTCTCTTCTTGGACATTGACATTAATTTAGCTGTGGAATGGAAATGGGAGATAAGGGTTGCTTGACTTGTTTTGTTGAGGGTTAAAGAGGTAACTTTGCGTCCAAAATCTGTGCTCTTGTTGAGGGTTAAAGAGGTAATTTTGTGTCCCAAAATCTGTGATCTTACTCGCATCGGTATAGTGGATTTAGGTTGCCATGCCTGTAGATGTAACCTTTTGGAGTAAACCACGTATATCTTGCATTCTTTTGTTATATGTGTTTTTTATATTGTATGTATCATGCTCATATTATGGTTTGTATTCAGCTATTTATTTTCTCGCTACATAGATGATCCTGGTGGGGATCCCGATACTTGGTTACATTCTTCCTCAATACTCTCTAGCTTAGTTCTAAAACTGGTGTGGACATTGCTTTTTCTTTATGATTTTGGAATTAGCATTTCAAATTAACTGTGCCCTTTTCCTACTTAGACAACTGATTGAGAAGTTCAGGGTGACGGGAAAAGACCTTCACATGGTCTTTATTAATATAGAGAAAGCTTATGTTAGAGTACTAACAGATTTAATGTTGGAAAAGAAAAGAGTCTCCAGATACTTTGTCGAGTTGGTAGATATATACGAGGGAGTGCTAAGTACTTTGTGAACAACTAGTGGAGAGACAAGTGAGTTTTTAGTAACTATAGGACTACATCAGGGATTAGCGTTGAGCTCATACCTCTTTATCTTAGTTGTGGACGATTTAACTAGGCACCTACAAGATGAGATATCGTAGTGAATGTTGTCCGCGGAAGACAGTTTTGATTGATGAGACCTGAAGCGGTGTTAACACAAAGTTAGAACTTTGGAGGAATGCTCTAGAATTTAAAGGTTTTAAAATTAGCTGACTAAAACATAGTATATGGAATACAAGTTCAGTGATAATAAGAGTAGAGACGAGGAAGTATTAAAAGAGCATACTTTCGATATCTTAGTTGATGATTTAAGAAAAATGGAGGGATTGAGGAAGATGTCACACATAGAATTAGTGCTGGGTTGGTAAAGTGGTAATGTGCCAATGGAGTTTTATGTGATCTCCACATACCAATGAAGCTGGAGGAGAAGTTTTAATAAGATAGCTGTGAGATCAGCTTTGCTTTATAGGGCAGAATGTTGGGCGGTCCAGAAACAACATACCCATAGGATGAGTGTAGTTGAGATGATGATGTTGAGATAGATGAGTGGCACGACAAGAAGGGATAGAATTTGAAATGAATACATTCGAGAGAACTTAGGTGTAGCTCCAATAGGCAATAAGATAAGAGAAAGTAGATTTAAGTGGACTGGCCATGTGCAGCGCAGACCCCATTACAACACCTGTTAGGAGGTGCGAGTTGGCTCAAGTGAAAGGCTCAGAAGGGGTAAGGAGTAGGCTGAAAAGGACATGGTTGGAATTGTGTAAATTTTAAAACAACATTCATTGTCATCATCAATTAATTAGGGTCAGACATATGAATCCTGGTATTAAAGGCCATATGAATATATTGCCTGAGTCGGGATTTTTTAAATGTTTCTTGGGCTTCTCATCTGTTTTGTATCATTATTTATTGCTTTAAATTTATGAATTAGCCGCATTAGCCTAATTTTGGCTTTTATGTATTTAGATCTTTGATCAGTTGCAAGGAAGCTTCTCTTCCAAGTTATCTCTCCCTCAAATATGTGAAAATTTTATAAAAGCAGCTTATGATCCTCGTATTGCTGGTATATATCTTCAAATTGAGCCCCTCAATTGTGGATGGGGGAAAGTTGAAGAAATTCGAAGACATATTGTCAATTTTAAGAAATCAGGTACTTTGGTTATTCAAGTATCTTTTGCATATTTCAAATCTTTTTTGCAAGAATTATTTAATTGAGTTCTCTCTCCCTTCCCTTCCCCCTTCATTCTTTTTTATATATGGGCTTTCATTTCTTGATTGTACTTCTTGTTCTGGGTCTTGAGATATTTGTTAACGATTCTTTTGGTGTGGAATTATCTATCTATTGCTTATGTTTGGGATTCTATGCTTTCCGTTGGGATTTACTTGTAAACAATATCTAAATTGAAGGTTTTATTGTGTTGTACCACGTTTGGGAAATTTTGTAAACACATTTTCTATTGTGTTGTTTCAGGAAAATTTATCATCGGATATGTCCCTATTTGTAGAGAGAAGGAGTATTACCTTGCTTGTGCATGTGGGGAACTTTATATTCCTCCGAGTGCTTATATAGGTTTATATGGTTTGCAGGTTCAGGCAGCATTTCTTGGTGGTAAGTTATTTGCTTTGAGCATGTAATTATGTTCAAAACTTGGCAAATTTGTAACCGAATTATAAAATAAACACGCATGTATATTGACACACTAAGAGGGATTTAATTTTTCTTTTGTAATGTATATTCGATAATTCTGCTAAATGAAGAAGCAGGTAATACCAGGAATGAACAGATAAGTTCCCTTTCATGCATTGGTAATCTAAAGACTAAACCTGCCATGGTAACTAGAATTTGCACAGGACCTGATTGAAGAGATCAGTGATTTCTTGATTTTATAGATATTTATTTGTCGCTATATTTTTTAGCATTCAGGAATTAATCATGTTTCAATGGAGTGTTATAAGTGGCGATCGGATAATGCATATGATTACAAACCCAATAGCGATATAATTTTTTGTCTTGGTATCAAATGATGAATTATGAGTTGGAGGACATTTTTATTTTTTTTAGGGTGGTTGACATTTTCCTTTATAACAGTTAAGGGGCTGATACTAGCCAACCATCTTTAGTATTTTTTTCTAATAGCATTAGTTGTATCCAATAGGCAAACAGAGCCCCTGGTTTAGGCTTATATTAAAATCCTATTTGAGTATTTATTGCTGCTTAGGAAATAAAATTGAGAACTTGGTTACCTGGAGGCATAAACTGTATCTATAGGTTTAATATTGTACTACTTTACACTTCTCATAATGCATCTTTTCAATTGTTTATGACTTGCTCTTTAAAGTACTGGATTTGAAGCTCAATTCAGCTATTGATGATGCTTGTTCTATGTATAATAGATAACTCAGTGACAACTGATCCGTGCAGGAGTCCTTGAGAAAGTGGGAATTGAGCCACAAATACAACGTATTGGAAAATATAAAAGTGCCGGTGATCAACTCACACGCAAGAGCATGTCAAAAGAAAACTGTGAAATGCTCACTGCATTACTTGATAACATTTATGGAAACTGGTTAGACACAATTTCATCTACCCAAGGTGCAGTATTGGATTGTGGGAATAACTCTTTGTATTATTTTCAATTATGCAAACTTAGAATTTTTGCTTAGAGCATCAATATCTCTAGGTAAGAAGCATGAGGACATCGCAAAACTGCTCGATGAAGGAATTTATCGGGTAGAAAGGCTGAAGGATGAAGGTTGGATTACAAACATCAGTTATGATGATGAGGTTAAAAAATTGTCTTTAAATATGCTATCCATGAATCAATTATTTTTCTTAAAGTATCACAGTAACATTTTTAATTTGTTTCTTTAAGGGTGTCCTTTCGGACAGCCTACTACATGCCAAGGAAGAGTTAAAAAGTGACTTCTTTTTTTTTTCACTGCCATTCTCTCCGGTACGAGATCTAATGATAAAATAACTCTCTCCTCCATTCTGAGAACATATAAACCTTGCTAAAAAGTTAGATATGAACAATGCGAACTGTCATGGTAGTGGACTAGTAGCTAATGTTCTTTTGTATCAGTTCATTGTTTATAGAAAAATTACATCCAGGCTCTGGACTAGTAGTTAATTTTCTTAAAGAGGAAAGGAAATATGAATAATATCTAATAGTATAGAATATTAGGCTTACCACTATCTAATTTTCTTAAATCTAGATGCTTGCAATTATTACTTGGATGATTCTGTGATTCCAATATATGGTTATTAGTTGTCTACTGCTGGAAAACAAACATTAAATGGTTCCAAGCATAGCTTATGTATGATGGTCGAATTTATGAATTGAATTGGTTAATTATTAAATGAGAAAACCTTATGAAATGATTTCCTTGCCTATGCCGTCAGTTCCCTTCCTTTCCGCCCTCAGCCTCCCTTATCTCTCTCTGGTTGTAACTTGTTTATGTTGCTCTACTTATTCTTTTCTGGATCTCCTGCTCTCACTTATGATGATAACATTGTAGGTGGTTTCAAAGCTAAAAGAGAGATTGGGCCAAAATAAAGAGAAAAATCTTCTCACAGTTGATTACAGGTAATTATCCTTTTAAAGATTAGAGAAAACTTGTTGATATGCATATAATTTTCATGCCATGTCCTTTTACCCTTGGATTACACGAAGATAGAAAAATGTCTGCAATGTTGTAATCCTCGTAATGTTCTAGTTTCCTTTTATATTAGCAAGACAAACTTCGCACTCTTTATTCCTGAATAGGACATTAATACACTAATCACACAATAATCTGTTATCTAAACTCTTTGATAAGATTAATGGAGGTTGCCTATTCTCAAAAAGGAAAGATTTCCTTCATCTTTGTAACCTTTCCAAAGCTTTTGCTACTAACTACTAACCCTTCCCTACTTGTCATTTTGTTTTTTTTTTTTCTATGCTTCTCCGTTTGTCATTCATTGTAGCTTGCTGGTACATTCTAGTTTACAATTCATTATTAATTGAGTCTTGGGAGTTGGGACTTTTGAATTCATCAATGCTGCTTCCATTCATCAAAATACTCATCAGGTTTTTTTTTGTGGATGGTGGTTACCGTATGCTTTCCTGGCATCTTAAGAAAAATCGCTGTGAATCTGCAACCCTGATTGTTTACTAGAACAAATTTATGAGTCGTGCTCATATTTCATGCAGGAAATACTCGAGAGTCAGAAAATGGACCCTAGGATTGACAGGGGGAAAAGACCAAATTGCTATAATAAGAGCTTCTGGAAGCATTAGCCGTATTCGTGGCCGATTCAGTCTTCCTGGGAGCGGTGTCATTGGTGAGCAGTTCATTGAGAAGATCCGTAATTTACGAGGTATATAATTATGCTATTTAAATTGCATTGAGATAATTTTATTGAAGCAGTAATTAGGTGAATTGTGGCTCACCTGTGGAGGTGAGAGAGCATCTGTCCGTCTAATTAAAAACTGCACAGATGCAAGTAGTGGGACCACGAAAGCAATACAGAGTGGGTCCTCTCTTCTCTCCCTCCACTACTGGCAATATATGTATATTTAAGGTTGAAATTGGGTCCTCTCTTATCTCCCTCCATTACTAAATCTGGCAATTTATTTATATCTAAGATTGATTATCTTTAGCATGACTGAATTTTGTTACGTGTCATAATTTCCTGGTTTGGTATTATTATGAATATTGGTTGGTTGTACATTAAATTATCCATCATATGAGCACTTCTCTGCTTTCCTTTTTCAGAGTCAAAGAAATATAAGGCTGTGATCTTAAGAATTGACAGCCCAGGAGGTGATGCTCTTGCTTCAGATTTGTAAGTATCAATTTTAGTTGTGGTTTTGTTCTTTAACAGGTGAAATCATTTACTTTTTTTGTTTGTATTGATTTAGACGGCATGTGGTACATTAGACAACTTTTAAGATAAATGTTTGAGACCCATGGAAAAGTTTTCAAGATTGTTGCAGTAAAATATTGCATTATTACTGGAATGTATCTTCACTTGTGAGTAGTAGATTTATTTTAAGTGTGGCGTACAAGGAATTTCCATTACTGGCATTTCATCATTTGCTTTCAAATAGAATCACTTGTTCTTTTGATACCATAAGTATGCAATAATGAAGCCTCTGAGAAGAGCGGTGAATAAGAAAGTGAGAAACCCAGTTTTGCCTGTGCTGCAGCCTTCTTAGCTGCTCTATTGATGTAACTGAAAGAACCAGGTTGTGATCCTTCATGATAACATGGAGTCCTGTTACTGAGTTGTAATTTCTGGATCAAATCTAGCATGCTGTGTGTGTCATCATTTGTGTTTGAAGAATTTACCAGGTTTGGGTCAATGATGATAACTACTTTGAAAGAGAAAAAAATAATAAAAGAATATCACACTGTCTTTGACTTCAAATCCTCCTGAAGCTTCAGCATCCTTGAACTATTTTGGTTACTCTTAATCATTTGTTGCAGAATGTGGAGGGAGATCAGGCTTCTGGCTGAATCTAAACCTGTGATTGCTTCCATGGCTGATGTAGCTGCCAGTGGAGGTTATTACATGGCAATGGCAGCAGGAGTGATAGTTGCAGAAAGTCTTACATTGACGGGTTCAATCGGAGTTGTTACAGGCAAGATTAGTATTACTTGTAGTTAAGAAATTCACTAGCTTTCTAGAGTCAACGGCTAAATAATTGGAGTTTTACCAATGAGCCTATTGTCTTACTGAAATGATTGGGTCGCAGTGCCATTAAAAAATGAGGTCTTTGTTTTTTTTCCTTTTCTGGGTATCACTTTGATGATTAAATTACAGATTGTGAAACCATGCTAGTTTAGATTGCTTTAATTGTGAACATACCTATCCCTATCAAACCACATGCAAAAGATTTAGAATTTTGATTGCATGCACATGTAAATTAGGACTGTCCTCTAACAAAGCTACCCCTAAAAGTATGATTAATGGAAAACCCAAACCCAAAAGTACCCTGGGATTGTTTAGAAAGTTCTCATAAGAGAAGTTTCTTTATTTCAGTTTAAGAAATCTGTCATCTAATTTCTAATTACCTATTTCATTGCTCATCCAGAATCTTTAGTCTACTACTCTTACATGTTGCCTTTACAATTCCTGTGCGTGTGCCGAAGAATTTCTGATTTCATAATGCATGTGGTAAATCAGACTGTTGATGTACTCACTAACTCCATGACTTCAATCATGCCCTTATAATTAACAACTTATTAATTACCAAAATTATAATGGGTGTATCACTTGTACAATGATGACTTCTGACAAATATGGCTCCTTGGTGCGTTAATAGAGTGCTCATTGTAAAAATGTTTTTCATTAGGGATTTCCCTTAAGAAACATTGGAGGAGTGTAAGATTTTGGAGTTGGACCACTACCTATGTATGAGGTTCCTGCACGTGGGCCTTGAATATTTCCATTCTAATATCAAGGGTGTGGGGAAATGCCTTAAGCTGAATGTTGTTAAAACTCATATAATTGACCCTATCTGCATACAGCACAATTATACCTTATACGTAAACTTCAAATATTCGAGATTGTATTTTGTCTTTTATTGACAGGGAAGGTTTGTCATGTTATGATGCATGAAGGGAAACGAAAGCTGCATGTCCATTGGAAGCTGCATGTCCATTGGAGGTGTAGACCTCTTTTTGCCACGATCAGTTATTCAGCTTGTTATTAGTCTTTCTATCATCCTGTAATCAGTGATAGAATTAAATCTTCCCTAACTGCAATAATCTTAGGAGGGACATGTCTGGTATAGTTCATCATAAACCCACTTTTTTTAATGTTAGGATATGATGCATGAACATCGTCATATTGAAAATCTAACAGAAAACCAAGATTATGTAAAATCTCAAGCCCTCATTTTTTTTTGGTGGCCAAGTGATGTTAAATTTGTAATGGAATCAGAAATGTGAAGATCAGCGAATCTGTGGAAAGAAAGTATCTAATTTCAGGGAGAGAAAAATCTCCGTAAAGAATTATAATTACAAAAAAAATGTTTTTTAATTGTGTGTGAACTTTGAATAAACAGGAAAGTTCAGCTTAAAGAATTTGTATGAAAGGATTGGTTTCAACAAGGAGACAATTTCAAGAGGCAAATATGCCGAGCTTGATGATGAACAGCGGCCATTCAGGTGAGATGACTCATTTTGATTGTTGAATTGGTCAGAAAGATGCAACTTTTTATTCCAGTCCTTGGAGATTTGGGGAATTATTTCATCGTGTTGCATTGCACATTTCCATTTTGAGGGAATCAAGCACTCATCAAACAATAAGCATGAAATTTTTATTATAAGCACATTTGTGAAGGTTAGCATCCAAGTTTCAAACTCTTCATAAAGCTAGTTAAAAATTTGTTTGATTTTATACAAATAATCTAATGTCGAAAGATTTGGATTTGGTGTATTGGCTTGGTGGTTAGGACCATAAGGTGCCAGGGCACAATGTCCATGGTTCAAATCCCAAGCGACCTACCTAAATATAAAGAATGAAGAAAGTACCAAGTAGAAAATGATGAGGGTATTGAAAATAGAGACGATTAATCCAAGAATAAAATTCTACAATTTGCTGGAAAACTGACAAAATTGAACCGAGAAATATTCAGCTAGAACAATAGGTGACCTTGGAGTTCTCAAATCTCACTAAGAATTAATGTTTCTCTTTTGTGACAAGAGAAACTCTTTTGTTTATCATTTGACACATCTGCTGATGATCCATCAACATAATGACTTCAATTAATTTTTATTAAAAATTCGAAACATTATGATTCATGTAATTACTCAAAATGGGTTTTCATTCTTACGATTGACCATTTTGATCAATTCCCAGAAGCAAATTAATTTCCCTAAATATCTGGTGATGCGCCAAATTCTTTCCTTATCGAATCTCCTTATTGAAGTTCCACTATAGGTATTCAGGAATTTACAGGGCAAGAAAAATTTACAGTATCAAGGCGCCTATGGACCATGGGAAAGGCATGGTCTATTGGGTCACTGCTGTCAATCGAAATGATGGATGGTCTTGAAGAGAGATGGCAACCCACCTTGAGGACTTGTTCTGGTGGATCCCAATCTTAATCACCATCTATTACTACCTAATGCATACTGATGAACTAATGAGCCACTGTTCTCCGTAGTCCATTGGATTAATATAACTTCCCAGAGATATGGTACTGGTGATTGATATTTGGTTTTTGTTGTGAAATTACAGGCCAGATGAGGAAGAACTGTTTGCCAAGCTTGCACGGAATGCGTACAAGCAATTTAGAGACAAAGCAGCTTTCTCAAGATCAATGACTGTAATGCTCATAACCATTTAGAATTCGGATTACAGTATTTGCTTACACTGTTCACCTTTTATGTTCTTTTGAAGATTACCACCATGTATCGACCTGTTCTTCGAGGTAACTAATTTTATAAAATGAAAATGTAACAAGTACAACAAGAAGAGAAAAATATTGGTTTCTCTATATCATTTATACAACAAGGCAAATCTTCTGTTCTTTTAGGTGGATCAGATGGAAGCGGTAGCACAAGGCAGGGTGTGGACAGGCAAGGATGCTGCCTCTCGGGGGTTGGTGGATGCAATTGGAGGTCTATCCCGAGCAGTTGCCATTGCAAAACAGAAGGCCAACATACCACAAGATAGCAAGGTTAGAGTTTCTCGTCAAATCTCTAACAGTCTCTGGTCTTGCTGTGCAAGACCAATATAATATGCTAAAACTTTTCTAACTGTTATGATATAAAAAATGGATAAATTACTGTCACCCTTTCATGTACTCGCTTGTCATGCCACCACCTTTTATGTAGGGTACACGCTCCCTGTGTATGGTATATGGTCCATTAGTGGGATGTCCATCACCTGTTGTCAACAGCAGATTCTCAACAACGGATGGTGATTTTTTAACGTAGCGAACTACGATTAGTCTCCACTGTCCATCCATGAGAAACAGATGGTTCATACCCTGGCTATGTACCATTAACCATATGCAAGCTCTGTATATGACATTTTACCTTTCAAATATCAATATTGAATGATGGATGTGCCTCTTATATTACTCTCAAGGATAATAATAAAGGTGATCAAACTATTAGAAAATAAAATAACAAAAATAAAATAACAAAGAAATGATCACATATGAAAATATGCGATGTTTTGCTGAATTTATATGGGTATGTGGTTACTTGTATTGCTTCATCTCGGCATGTTTGGGATGTTCCGGGCATTTTTCCTTTGTAATTCAATATGTTGATCTATTTCGTTTTCACGTCTAGGCTGACATTTGGATTATGGTTATTTCATTTTCACGTCTAGGGCTGACTGACATTTGGATTATGATTCTTACTCGTCTGCGCCAGGTCACATTAGTTGAGGTAACAAAGAACCAACCTTCTTTTGCGGAGGTCGTGGGGGGACTAGGTTCTTCTCTTCTAGGGTTGGATGGAGCAATGAGAGACATATGGCATGAATTTTCATCTTTCGAAGGCATTAAAGCCCGAATGGATGGCATCATTCTTGAGGGGATTGAGTGCTCTCCTTTTGAGGATTCCATTTTAGCCTTGCTTAAAGATTATTTGAGCTCTTTCTGATCCGGGTTTCTTTTGATCCTCGCAAAATGGTGATTTGATTGTAATTGGGATTTTGTGAGGCCTTGCATGCGATACTTGATCATCAATTGTATACGATCAAGTTTTTGTGTTATTAATAGTTGCCATGATAACCCGTGTATATAAAATACAGCAATTGTGTATGAAATTTACAAAGTTTGTCATTTATGGCCTTTTAATCCCCCTCTCTCACACACACACCCCATGTCTGCTATTGGTGTGCCCGAAATTGGGCCTGGAAGTTCTAAATATTGCTCTCTATAATTAGAGAAAAGATGTTGATACCATGTACTAGAGCATTTCCACTTGATTCAGAGCACTCCATGAAATGATATATAATGGGAGAGAGATTCTTATTAAGTAAAAATAAGTAGAAAACAGAATCTCAACAAAATTATGAATTTAAAAATAAAAAGAAGGATCAGTTTCTCTGTCAAAATTATGAATGAAATCCATAGTTCTTCATTCCTTGCCCCCAACAAAATTATGAATCTAAAAATAAAAAGAAGGATTAGTTTCTCTCAAAATTATGAATGAAATTTAGAGTTCTTCATTCCTTGCAGAGCCACATAACAGTGTCAACCATTCTTGCTATTCTACTCCAGCTTTTTTGAAGATGCAGGCTTAATTCTGTGCCTCTTGTCTCACCATTTTAAGCAACCTCCGAACAATACCACTCTTGATTTACGGGTGGTAGAAAAATGACCGATTGTGGTAGAAAATGGACCTCAATGGTCTGTACAAGCTGCTTCGGTTCTACCTGTCAAACCATACATGAATCAGTGTAAAAAGTCCCATTTTCTTGAGTGAAGTACGGTATTGACCACAACTCAACTGGGAACAAAATCGTTCCAAATTTGTATGGCCGCATGAACATTATAATACCGCATCCAAAACTCGAAGAATGCCAAAAATAAAGGAAAGTCATCCATGAAGAGAGGAGGAAGTTTGAACAAACACCAAGTTGGTTCAAGACAATGCATAATGCAAGAAAGCATATTGACGTCAACAGCTGACTCACTCTGAAAAACAAGGAGGTCATATTTGTTTTGGCCCATAATTCATTCAAAAAATAAGGTGCATAACTACATCTTTGATTTTCTTTTTTTTTTTGAGAAAGTAATCTTTGATTAAGAATGGAAATTGATTGATAATTGCAGGGGTTGAATTGCGTCTTCAAACAAATTTTGTGAGGAATGGGATGAGGATGAGAATGACTAGGGGAGGCAACAGAAACCAGGGTCACAGTTATAATAAGTGGAAGTTGCATTAGTTAATCAGTGATTATTGCATACATCATGGAAATCAGAATCACAAGTAAACATAAAAGCAAAAAAATTGAAATTCTTTAGCCCATTTTGAGGCATCCAATACCAAAACATGCAAAAGCATATAGTGAACTATATAACATCTAATGAAATACGTAGAAATCATAATGCTTCATTTGAATTATTAAATAACATAAATTGTTTGACAGCTGATATTTTAAAAGAAAAAAAAAAATTAACACCTGGAGAGAGAGAGAGAGAGAGAGAGAGAGAGAGAGAGAGATGATTAACCACTAACCTATAATTTCAAGCATGGCCGTGACAGGTTCAGAGGCTGGTCACAGGGAGCACCGACAGGAAAGAGGAGACATTCTGATGATGAGCTGTCAGTCTTTAAGTATCAAATGTGGCTGTTGACAGGTTAAGAGTCTAGCCACCGGAAGCACGAACAGTGAGCTTGCTAGAGTGAAATTGAGGAACTCATCCATGCCTCTAAGATTCATGCAATAAAAGTGATTGGGGATGTAATGAATGTAGAATTAATAGAATGATTAACAGTCATGGATTATAACATTATCGGTCTTTCTACTTCAATAATCCACGAGCTTACAAAATCAGCTTTTACTATCCACAATACCTTCCAATGTACTTTAAAGTACACAAAACCATGATTTAAAGGACTTTATGTTCAATGTCACTGTATAGAATTCACATAGGTAAAATGAATGGAACAAACTTAATATTCATACTTCTATTAAGATAAAAGAAAGTGAAATGTTGTTCCAATGTAACGTCACATTTAAGATTTTCAGAATGTGCTTCAAGCCCAGTTTAGTCACCAAGTCAACATATGCAAAGGGAAGTCTAGCAGATCCAATCAAGTTCTCTAAATGGTCTGAGCACCTCACGTTACTTAAAAAGTGTTCTGAATCAATCATCTACAAATCATCATTCAACATTCTTCTCTGTAGAAGGTTCTTGTGGATATAGGGTAGTCAACACATCTGACACCTTTTCGATTGTAAGATGGAACAAGGCTTGCAATTGCCACCTATTAAATGCGACACTGTCAAAGCCATCAAGTTGCCATTTGGATGAAGAAAATACAGTTACAAAATTGTTATAGAAGAAAAGGCTAAGGTGAAGGATACAATACAAACAACAAAATAACAGAAGCACCAAATTTGACAAGGCATGTCACTTAGGATACTGTCCCTTAAGGCAGTGATTTAAAAGTTGTTATAAGAGAATAGACTAAATTGAAGGATACAGTAGACACTAAAATCACGGAAGAATCGTATTCGGCAAGGTGTATCACTCAAGATACTGCAGTAATTGGAAATGCCATCCCAATGACACAATGCCCTTCTCTCTAGTTTGACTAAGTCTGCATCCTTAGATAGGCCTTTGAAAATGATAATTTTTATTATCCACTAAAAGATGATGACAAAATGTCAAAATCCAATATACTTGTAGAACCATAAATGAGGAATTTACTACAAAGGACTCACAAAAAAAAAACAATCATTGAGAGAGTAATGAGACGCAAGTTGGTAGTTTGAAGACAATATTGCAGAATTTAGACTTATAATATATTGCAGAATTTAGACTTAGAATATATTAATAAGTGTTTGACTAAGTCTGCATCCTTAGATAGGCCTTTGGTAATGATAATTTTTATTATCCACCAAAAGCTGATGACAAAATGTCAAAATCCAATATACTTGTAGAACCATAAACGAGGAATTTACTACAAAGGACTCACAAAAAACAAACAATCATTGAGAGAGTAATGAGACACAAGTTGGTAGTTTGAAGACAATATTTGAATTTAGACTTAAGAATATATTTCTAAGTGTTAGAAGAGAGAGAGAGAGAGAGAGAGAGAGCAAATTATTCTAATTAGTACCTCAAGATCACCTACATTATAAGTAACCAATCTTAAACATTGGAAAGTGGAGTTTCTCACATATGTCCCCTTAAAAAAACGTTTTTAAAAACAATAACTACCTCTTTTTCTCTCTTAAGGTAGTTAATTCTCTACATAAAGAAGCTATGGAAGTTACATGTCTAAAAAAGCACAATCTATCACCAATAATTACCAACTACAATTTGACTTCTCAACCCTTGGTACAGAACAAAATAAAAGAACATTCCACCAATCATATAATTCCAAATAAAGGGCAACCTCACATTCTCAGAAAACATTGAATGCACTAAAACAATGTGGGCAATAATCAATAATTTCACTTGTGGTTAGATAACATGTATTTATTAAATTACTCGATGATATTAAATTAAATAAGACATAATAAATTCATGTATCACATTTATTAAACTATTCAAAATCTCTTACAAGGCAACACATAGAAAGTGGGACCTAACTTTCACACTCACAAACGAATCTGCTTCACCCTCAACAAATTATGGATTCATTAAAGGATCAACCTAACATCTCAATTAATGAAATGGTCACGTATATCAATCTTAGGAATGCAATTTTGTTAAGAACAACTATAATCAAGGTGTAATCCATTTAATCATTGGGTACTTAAATTTATACATGTTATCTAACCATAGGTTCAAGATTAATACAACTATGGAATGCACTTATTGCCTTTGTAGCATTTTCAACATTTTTTAGAATGTGAGTTTGCCCTTTATTTGGATGTATATATAGTCATTTTGTATTTTTTTGGTTGTTTTTGTACTAAGGATTGAAAAGTCAAATTGTGGTTGTTGTTGCTTGATGATAGGATGTGTCATTTAGAAACATAAACTCCGTAACTTCTTTATGTCGAGAATAATTACCTTACAGCGAGAAAGAGGTAGTTATTGTTTTTAACTACCTCTCTCTTTTCCACAACCCCCCCCCCCCAAAAAAAAAAAATCAACAACAACACTTGGAGAAAACATTCTAAGTCTGAATTCTGGAACATTGTGTTCAAACTACCAACTTCTATGTCTCATAACTCTCTCAACAATTGTCCGTCTTTTGGGATTCCTTTTCAACTAAACCCCTTTGTTCGTAGTTCTACAAGTATATCTGATTTTGGTATTTGGTCTGAATAGGCCATAAAGATTGTTCATATTCAAGGGTTTGTCAAAGAGTGGAGACTTAGTCAAACTACAGAGACGTGCATTCCATCTGGGGATGGTATGTCCTGTGACCACCTGCAAAATTCTTTCAATGGGGGAAATCACTGTCTTAAAGATAGTACATTAAGTGATTAAGCTTGCCTAATATTATTGTTCCATTATTTTTGGGGTATGTATCGTCTTGGACCATATGTATGGAGCATTTCTATCAAACTGACTAGTTTTTTTTTTTGGGTTCAACCATTCAAGCACCTTAGTTATACGACTCTTGATTCAATGAAAAGGTTATTGGTTCGTGCTCCCTGTTTACCCATATGTAAACATATTTTTGCAAAGAACATCTAGTGGACATGCTTAATCAGACCAGCATGCCTATGGTTCAACAAAGAACAATCTTATGCTCACTTGAATCTATCGATTAGAGGATGAATACTAATAATTTAGAGGATATCATCATCATCATCATCATACTCATCATCATCATCACATTATCACCATCCGAGCCTTATCCCAACTATTTGGAGTCAGTTATACGAGTCATGTTCTGCAATTTTGCTATATCAAGGGCCACCCCCTCAGTCAGAGCATAAGTCACCATATCTCTTCTCACTACTTCCATTCATGTCCTTTTGGGCCTTACCCTTGCCCTTTTAGAGTCTTTCACCAAATAGTCCCTCCTAACTGTGCTATTCTAGGTCAACGTAGCCAATGGCCAGACTACCTAAGTCTACTTCCCTCATCTTATCACATATTGGAGCTAACCCTTATCCCAACTATTTGGAGTCAGTTATACGAATCACGTTCCACAATTTTGCTATGTCAAGGGCCATACCCTCAGTCTGAGCATAAGTCACCATATCTCTTCCCACTACTTCTATTCATGTCCTTTTGGGCTTTACCCTTGCCCTTTTAGAGTCTTTCACCAAATTGTCCCTCCTAAACTGTGCTCTTCTAGGTCAACGTAGCACAGGGCTAAACTACCTAAGTCTACTTCCCTCGTCTTATCGTATATTGTAGCTAACCCTAAATTATCTCGAATGTATTCATTCAGAATTCTATCCTTTCTTGTCCTGCCACTCATCCATATCATTATCCTCATCTCAACTATGCTCATTATGTATATATGTTTTTACTTGATCACCCAATATTCCATCCCATAAAGCATGGTTGGTCTTATAACCATCTTATAGAACTTTGTCTTCAGTTTCATTGGTGTGAGATGATCAAATATGACTCTAGAAGCACATTTCCACTTTGTCCACGCAGTTCTAATTCTATGCGGGGCATCTCCTTTAATCTCTCCATTCTCATGAAGAGAATGTTATCATCATCATCGTTGTCATTGTTATCATCATCATCTTTTGATTGTTAGGGGTAAGGATATATTACAATAGTGATCTCCTGACATAGTGTTCCAGGGACCACATGGGTGAAGCATGAACTCTAATGAGGCCAAGGAATTAGAAGGAAGATTTCACCACCATGAACCAAATAGTCCTTACCGAACTGCCTCGAATGGCCTGAACTGCCTTGAATGGTTGTGGATGACGATGATGACCATGATTGATACAACTATATTCTATAAATAATCAACAAATACCATTGCAGTGATTAAATATTGATCGGCAACCTAGAGCAACCTGAAAAGCCTTTAGCGCCAATGGGTGCTAATGATTCATCAAGATACTCTACAAAAGAAATCACAATGCATGTTTCATTCTGCCCTCTATGTACATTTCTAGGTACCTGAATGTCTATCACAAAATTTTAGAGTTAAAAAAGAAAGAAAGAAAGAACAATACAAAATTTCCATTTGCACAAACAGAAAACAACATACAAACTTACAGCACAAGAAAAAGAAAAATAATAATAAATCATGACTAGAATATCAGATATCAACTGGCTCAGTACAATGTCTAGCATGAACAGTGACATGCAAGAACTATTGAAAACAACCTTAATTTGCACCTGACGTCATTAAAAATCTAATTTAATTAATTTCCAAACTAATACTAATAGGAAAAGCATATCCCTAGGCTTGGAACCAAACTGAATAGCACAGGAGCGAATTTTGATTTGTTTGTGTTAAGTGACACATCCAAAAAAAAAATTTGACCTCTCCTCTGTTGCTCTAATCATATTCATCTAAAAAGCAAATTGTTTTCCAACCATCACTTCTAGAGAAGAAGATGATCAACATATGAAATTACAGTTATTTCTGAGTTTGATTTTGAAATTGCAATGTATAACACAGCTTCAACACCATAACCAAGTAACACATCACATCACTGCAGTTAAAATCCTAGCAAAGTGAATGCTTAGACGTCGATGGTTCATAACATGTGGAGATAAAGGGAACATGAAGAAAAACCTCGGAAGCCTATCAATATTTATATGATGTAGTAAAACATCGATAGAAATGTCGACCTTCAGAGACTGTCAAAGTTAACGCAAAACAAATAGACCATTAACAGCTAACCCCAATGACTTCCACAACCCAAATCACAAGTTATACCAATGCAGTTGTTCAAGAGATGAACAATTTCCACATCTCTTCAGTACTATGCTCTAGTTTTATAGTCCAAGTTACTGCAGATAATATCCTCATCTGCAAAAGACGACATATCAACTTCCAAATTCTTCATCCATGAATTAAAAATTTGCACCTTAGCGGAGAACTCAGGCACTTATACAGAGATAAGCCCATATGCACAATCCTAAATGGAGCCCATATGCATAATCCTAAATGGCATGGTGACTAAAGGAAGATACATATTTCATTTTCATGGATTCACAAGTAATTTTTCCATGTAAAAAATTGACTACAACAATAACTAAACGTATTTAATCTAATTTACCCATATTTAGCTTTAAATTAAGACCTTATCATTGCTGTGAACAATATAAGTATCACAACACAAGGGATTATTATTCCAGACAAATAAAGGCAATAAAAAATGAAACATGCATTTCATTGCCCTGAAATATAAGTATCACAACAAAAGAGATTATTATTCCAGACAAAATAAAGCCAATAAAAAATGAAACATGCATTTCATTGGCCTGAAATAGGTTTTCGCCATGAACCCATTATTTAAACCGGCCATATATGAAAGGATTACAACAAAAAAATCGAAAACCAAACAACACACTCCTTTAAATCAAGAACAAGAGAAGAAAAGCACTGCAAAATAAAGAAAAAAAAAATGAAGAATATAAGAGAGAGTTACCTTTTAAGAGACATCCCTGGCACTTTGCAAGAAAGCAGCTGAGCAGAGAATGCAAGCAACAAATCCAAAAACCCACAAACCCAAAAACAAAGACATGCCTGCGACCACTAAATCAGCCATGAACTGTAAGGCTGAAAAGACCAACATTTTCTACCACCCCAACAACCAAAAAATAATAATAATAAATTCTAAAAGGCAATTCATGTGGATGAATATCAGTGTTTTCTTCAGCAATTCATGTGAACAGGGATCTTAATGACCGAAATGCATGGAAGGCATGGGATTTATTGATCTGAAAGGGAACAAAAATCCATGGGATTCATTGACCTGAAAGGCAACAAAAAAAAAGAAAGATAAAAAACCAAAAATGTAAACTTTCAAAAAAAAAAAAAAAACCAAAAATGTAAACAGAGGGGCTAAAAATTGGCACAAAAACCAACACTTGGAGGCACAAAGGCACAAAGGAGTCCATGTGCCATTTTCCAATGGGCACCAAACCAGTAATCCGTAAAACTTTGTCCATGTGGACCCATGTTTGGAGTTAGCAGAAATAGATAAATATATATGTAAAGCAACGGACACAACCACTATCGTTTCTTATATTTCAAATTAGGTGGTTATCTTCTTTAGGTTTCAAATCATATGGTTGTGTTTTTTAGATTTAAATCGGGTGATTGTAACATTGAAAAGACTCAAAATTAAAAAAAAAAAAGAAATTTGACTTCATGACTATCCCAAATCATCTAATTATATGGTAGGAACAATTCTGACCTTTTTATAATAAAGATAAATGTATCATTGTATACAATCCCAATTGTTACATAGTTCGGGGATTTTGAGAAGACAAGAGTTTACATAAGATTGCAACTTTATTCAGAGAAATAAAGTTGCAATAACCTACACTACCTATTTTATTTGGATCGTGTAGATTGGGCATTATTTTGAAAGACATGTCATGTACTAGTAGTGTCTTAAAGCTTTGTCAAATTTATAATATCTAAGTAAAATGAAACTTTCTACAAATAAGATTTCAACCTTATATAAACCACATCCTTTTGATATATTTTTTTCTTTTTAACTTTAAATATATTTTTATGCTCGATAAAAAAATACTTATACGAGGCTGCTAATGTTTTCAATATTGGACCACCCAAATAATGATCGGTTTAATATTTGAAGAATTGGACTGTCTCCACAAATACAAAAAAACTTGAAAAATAGGATTGGATGTTCGTAACATTGGGCTAGAGAAAAAAAATGAAATAAAAAACTGTAAAAAAGGGACCTCTGCTAAAATTTGGGCTAATTTGTAATTATGTTAAAGAAATACTGTTAGTAATTCGTACTTTCTAGGTAGAAATACAATGAGCAATTGGACATATGCACCCCCCAATATTTTTTAGAAAAATTTAAAAATAGCCATTGAAAAATATAAAATGGGTTAAAATCTAGTTTTTTCATTAATTTTCAACTTCATTTGAATGTGTTTTGTTTTAATCATTCTTTATATGTTTTTCATATTTTAGTAAATTTTCTTTGTAGTTTTTTAACACTTTTTTGACCACTCAGGACTTGTCCGGTTAGAGCGGTTGAATCGGCCGGTTAAATCACTTCCAGACCCATGTACGGTTAACCGTCCCGGTTCGATTTTACGAACACTGCTATTAACTTTAATACTATTTTTTTATATACTTACATCCACAAGTAAAAAAATTAATTTTTTTGGACCAAAATACTCTTCATTTTACCATATGTTTCCAAAATGTGACGTCTTAACATGTGCGCAGAGCAAAAATGTGTTGGACTAGGTTGTGCTTGACCCACTGTTGCCAAAAAGTGTTGGTCGGACAAAAAATGTGTCGCATCTGCTTTTATTATTCAAATTATGTGGTTTCATGATAAAATGTGTCAAACCAACTTATATTGAAATTTTGTCGGTCCAACACAAAATGTGCTGGGCCTGGCTTCTAATGTGCAAATTTTGTGACATACTAGCTTAGAGGGAGAAAGTGTGAAACACGGTTTAAAGTGAGAATATTTTGGTTCAGAAACAGTATCTTTTTTGCTTGAGGGTGAATGCAAAAACAAACAATATTAAGTTTAATAGTGTGATTTTAAATGTATTTGTTTGGGCTTTTATCTGTCCCTCTTGGATGGTCCTTGTTTTTTGGGTACGTAGGGTGTTAGCTTCTGTGAAGTTGGATTGGTTTAAGAAGTTGGCATGTCCAAGATCTTAGGTTCTCAAAGTAATCTGTAGTTGAGTTTTGGCTGATGGTGTAAATGAACAGAAAAGTTTTACAAGAGTATGGAATCTTCACACTTGTTTAAAATTGTCTCTTTTTAAAGGAAAAAGTTTATAGCAGGTTTGACCTTAAATTGTAGAATTATGGTGTACTCTAAAACTCTACTGGAAAAGGCTCTTCACAGATATTCGATAAAATTGGAGTGATATAGAGAAAATTAGCATGGCATTTGTTCAAAGATGACGCACATAAAATAAAATAAAAAATTGTTTGGATATTGGAAAATCATTTAATTGACCATTTGATATTGAGATGTATGGATATGATAAAAAAAGAATTCAATTCCCAAAAATAGTACATGTTGCAACACATCATCTTGACCATCCATTTTTAAGATTTTCATGTGCTATCGATGAGTTTGACTTAAACTATTTTTGGAGTTCTAAAATTTATAATTAGAGATGAAAATAGATTTTTGATCCATCCTAAAAATTTTCAATGCCAAAATTACATCTTATAACAACGTTTGAAGGATCGTCTTTAATTTGATTGTTTAAAGTTGCAACCTTGTGCAAACCTCACCCCTTTCTAAATAGCTTTTCTTATAGTTACCTCTAGTGTTTTAAAACCAGATTCTGTTTGAGACAGCCAAGGACTGTGACTGTTGGATAACTGGCTATCCGGAGAATGATAATAATAAAAAATAATTAAAGCCCCCGTGAACCTATTCCAATGGAGCAATTTCGATCTCAATCGTCGAAAGTAACTAACGAATGTCAACAATATGGAGAAGGCATCGTAACTTACCTAGAAAACGCCCATCATTACAAACTAGTGGTAGAAAATTTTCAAATCGCTCATCCCAACCTTTACCATTATGATTGTGAGAAATATTAGGATTTCAAACTCTAAAAACAATGTATATGGTAACACATTATCTGGACGGTAAATTTTTCAGTGTTCAAAGATCTTCAAGATTTGTACCTTTATTTGAAGTACAAATTTCATAATTGGTGGTGGACATAGTTTTTAGAGCCATTATAAAGATTTTCCTATGGTCAGAGTGTTTTCTAGACAAAATTTTGACGTGAGGCTTTATTTTGTTCTTATAAGGTCCGGGCCTTATAGAAACAACATCCTTACTATTTTTTTTATTTGGATAGTTGAGTGGTGAAGACAGACCAATTGCCACTAGTAATAAGCATGCTGACCAAATACCTTCATGACAGCAAAGTTGCAATGCTTGTCAAGTGCAATATAAATAGGGTTTGAAAGAATTGCCCTCTCTTGGAATGAGAGGCAATAGAAATGCCAATATAGATGGTCCTACATGAAGTTAAGTATGCAATTTTTTTCTGGGTAGTTCAGCAGTAGGAATTGAACTTGAGATGTAGCGCTCCTACACCTACACTTGAGCTGCTAAGCTGCTAATCACTCAAGACCAAGCCCGATTCCTAAGTCTAGTATGCAATTAGTACAACGCAATACGACACATATGTCAGGGAAATCATCTTAGACATATTCATACAGAAACCTTGATATATCATGGGCTCTTGTGATGAACTACAAAACTGAATGAAATTGATTAATGTATCTCATTTTAACAAATAGTAGTGAAGCAAGAAGCCTTATGCTATGGTTTAAATTTCAAAGTGACCAGTCTTTTGGCTTAGGTTTGAATGTACTTTTGAAAATCCAATAGGCTAATGAATTTGGTGTTAAATATAAGCCAAACTTTGAAGTCCAACACCATAACCATGCCAATCTAAAGGCCAGTGAACCAGACTCCTTGGGTCATTTCCTTATGATACATGGAATCTAATAAACTAAGCCAAATCCAGTGATCCTAGAGTGATGTAAGGCCACATGATTACAAATCTGATGAACACGAGAGAAAGCAAAGCTTACTCTCTTATACTTTGGTGATTGCCATTCTCTCCTTCTGATTAAAGGAGCTGAGACTCTCCCCCATCTTTGGTGCACTGCATGACTTATGAGCATGTTATGTAGCAATTAATGCAAACTGGGAACATTTATTTTATTTTATTTTTGGTTGAACTTCTTGCTTGAAAAGTGGACACTATGAGTTCCTTGTAATTTTTTTCTGTTTTCTGTGAGCACTATAACTCTTTCGCTTGAACCAATTTGCAGTGGAAATCAATGTCTTAAAACACGACACGGGCAAGGTACCTAGGCTATTTTTGAGCCTGACTCGGGTGAGTCTGATTGACTAGCCCAAGTCTAGCCTGAACCCCAAAAGCCTTGAGAAAGCTAAAAAAACAGAAAAATGCCAAAAAAAATCCTTAAAAATAGAAAAATAATAAAAGTCGAACATAGTCATACAAAATTTCAGAATCAGTAAATAAAACACGAAATATGAAAAGTTCAATGTTATTGGCTTGATAAACAATTTGGAAACCAAAAACTATGAAAAGAAATATAAAACTTGTAAAAAAATAAAAAGTACATGCAAAATTAACTATAAAATATAAATCAATTATAATGGATCTAGTAAAAACAAATATATGCAATAAAGTTTAAGGAGTTAATTTTACTCATAATTTTGAGGCCAATCCCTCAATCTTTATGTGAATCTATACCTCCAATCCTCATCAAAGGTTCTGCAGGCAACCCCAATCACAACCCCAAAACCAGTTTTGTGTTTTAAGCTTGGATCTAGGAGATCCTAGTTCTTGAAAATTTTGCATGGATAATAAATCCTAATTCCAAATACCTCATATCCTAATTCTTTTTGAGTTTTCTTGTGAAAATCAAGCCTATGGTTGGATCTAGAACACAAAAATAGGAATTAGTGCTCAAATTTCCTTGAAGATCGACTATTAACAATGAAGAAATTACAAATTTTGGAAAATAGGGAAAACTTGGCCAATGTTTTTGATCTCTCAAACCTGTGGAATTTATTTATTTTATGAGCTCTTATGCATCTACTAGATTGATCAAATGTAGAGATAAGGCAATAGTATTCTATAAGCTCTTATGCATCTACTAGATTGATCAAATATAGAGGGGTACAATTTGTATAGAGCCGAGGCTCTAAACAATCAAAGTAAAGCGGTGTCAAGAAATGTGGTTTCAATATTGGAAGTCTTTGTAATAGCCTTAAAATATATTTTCATCTTTAATTATAAAATTTAAAGCTTTATCGAGTAGATCTATGAAAACTCGAAAATATTAAAAATTGACGGTCCAAAAATACATTGCAAGATGCAATATTTCCAAATTTGAAATCTGTTTTTTTTCTCAAGATGATCAATTTAAGGATATTTGAGCATCAAAACAATATCTTCTAGTGAAATTTTTGAGGTGGGCTGTTATTTGATTGTTTAGAGCCTCGGCTCTATATAAACTTTTTCCATATGTAATTCCTAAAAAGAAAAAGTTTATATAAGGTTGCAACCTTAAAATATAGAATTAAAGGTGCACCTCAAAATACATCATAAAAAGTTGCTGGATGTTGAAAAACCCTTTAATTGATCATCTTGAAGTCGAGATGTATAAGTATGAAAAGAAAAAAAGATTTCAAGTCTCCGAAATAATGTACATTGCAACACATTATTTGGACCGTCCACTTTCAAGATTTTCATGTATTTATAGATATACTTTATTTGAACTATTTTTAGAGTTTAAAATTTTATAATTAGAGATAAAAAATGATTCTCAAGTTATCCTAACAAATTTGTATATTATATTTATATTTATAATAAAATTTAGAAGTACGCTTTAATTGGATTGTTTAAGGTTGCACCCTTATGTAAACCACACCTATTACATATACATGCTCTGTTGAGGCTCGATAACCTGCCAAACCGGAACAACTCGTTTGAGTTTAAACTTTTTCTTGGGTAAATCAGCGGGGGAGAAAGCCCTTACCCAATTTTCATTAATAATAAGAAAAAAAATATAGCTCATAAATCTACAGCCCTAAAATAAGACAGCTATGCCACATCCATGCAGTAAATGCAAGATAGGAAATCGGGCAAATTTTTAAACACTGATTAAATTTTTTTATCTTTATTATTTTTCAATTAAAAAATTATTGAACCACAAGAGATGCACAATTTCGGGATTAACCTGTCTTAAATGCCCAAAGCATGAGAAGTCACAAAATTTTGGATGTTTGAGTTTGAATTTCACCCCTAGCGTCCAACAAAATAATTTGAAAACTACTAATTTGCAAGGAATTAGTATTTGTAATAATGCACTTGTAATATCTCATTTATTAAATGAGATATTGGTTTTCAAAAATACTCACGCCTCAAAAGCTATTTAAAGCGAGATATTATTATTTAGAAATATCTTACAAAAAAAACTTAATATTCCTAACTCAAAAATACCAATATTTCGTGCTTGAAAATAACAATATTTTTGGAAAAATTAATATCGAAGTCCAAAAATAAATACAGGGTTCATTGATTTCACACTTGTTGCCACATGGTGGTTTCTCTTTTTTTGGGCGGTAATTTGTTAACCACAAGTTTTTGGGTTATGGTACAAAAGGCTGAATCTCCGAAAATGTGATTTCCAAGAAATAAGAGTTTTTTTTGTTGTGGCCGCAACATCAAAATTAACAGGAAGCCAGGAACATGGAATTATCATGGAAGAATCTACTTTTTTTAATTGGAATAAATAACAAAATTGAAATGAATTTGCTTGAACATGGAATTATCATGGAAGAATCTACTTTTTTAATTGGAATAAATGAGAAAATTAAAATCAATTTGCTTGCTTTAATGAAAAAAATGATCAATTTATCCATAAAAAAAATCGACGATTATGGCAGCTTTTAGAAAGTTAAAAAGGGAGTTCGGGTCCTCTTAAAATCTTAAGGGAACGGGATACTAAATATATGGCCATTATTGAAGAGTAACATACATGTCGGGCAAAAGGATAAGAAAATTCAGTTTTTTATATTTACCATCAGTTATCAAAGTGGCGCAGCGGAAGCGTGGTGGGCCCATAACCCACAGGTCCCAAGATCGAAACTTGGCTTTGATACGTGGATTACTCTTTTAATTATTATTTTTTACCAACACTCTTTACCCATCCTCTCTTATTTACTCTAACAAATTTTTTTTTTTCACCATCGTCTCTAATTACTCAACAATTTTTTTCTTTTCACCATCCGCTCTTATTTACTCAACACTCTTTACCATCCTCTCTTATTTACTCAACAATTTTTTTATTTTCACCATCCTCTCTTATTTACTCAACAATTTTTTTCTTTTCACCATCTTCTCTTATTTACAAACTACACCTCCTACATTTTGCTCCATGCTCCATCTTCTCTTATTTACACTTTTTCAAAAAAAAATTTAATTTTTTTCACCATCTTCTCTTATTTACACTTTTTCATAAAAAAAATTTTAAATTTTTTCACCATCTTCTCTTATTTACACTTTTTCATAAAAAAAAGTTTAATTTTTTTCACCATCTTCTCTTATTTACCCCTCTTATATTTCCTCCTTGATACGTGGAATAACCATGATGACCGCATATTCACCATCTTCTCTTATTTACATTTTTCATAAAAAAAATTAATTTTTTTCACCATCTTCTCTTATTTACACCTTTTCGTAAAAAAGATTGTCTTTTAAATTTTTTTTACCATCTTCACTTATTTACAATTTTTCAAAAAAAAAAAAAAAAATTTTCACCATCTTCTCTTATTTACACCTTAAAAAATTTTCTGACCTTTTCGCACTAAAAAAAAATTTCCTCTTATTTCCTCCTTGCTCTGATTATAACCATGGTGACCGCATATAAATTTCTTATCTTATTTCCTCCTTGCTCCGGTTATAACCATGGTGACCCCATATAAATGATATCGGAAATGTTATTTTGGAAAATACGCACGCCGAAATAAATATCTCATTTTCTTTTCTTTCATTTCCAACTTTAATCTAACTTATATTTCACTTTTTGTTTTTCTTCCAATAAATATATCATTTTCCTCTTCTTTTATTTGTCCAGTCACTTTAACTACACCTTATTATTTCACTGTTTTTCAACGATAAAAATATCACTCTTATTTTAGTTTCACCTCACTGTGATTATAACCGTATTGATATCAGATGTTATTTCAACATATGAGAGAGAGATTTCGTTTAAACACTTTTTTCTTATATATATCACATTCAGGATTACAAATTTATGGAAATTTGCTTGGAGGAATACATTGCCCTGAACAATTTAATACTCATCAGCCTTTCCTTTCTCAAATTTCATCTCAGGCTTTACAAGATAGAGAAAAATGGGACATTACAGAAGAGAGAGCCGTTGGTTATTCTCATTGGGTACCAACCTTAGAATCGTTATTCAGTTCTAGTGTCCTTCTATTCTTGATTCTTCTATGATTGTTTTGGAAGGTGAGGTACAGGTGATGAGAGAACTGTCGATCCAGCTAGTGCTTTCGCAGAATTAATCAGACTGCTTCTCCTAGGACGGAGTCCCATGCCTGGAGCATAAACGGATAAACATTAAAAGAGCTTGTGATGGAAACATTGATCAAGTTCAACAATTTCAAGATCAGTACATCTTAACCATTCAATAAGAAAGGAGCAAACAAAAATAATCAATACCATCATGTCAATCTTGTAAAATGTTAAGGGCAAATTCACAGAATGTTATTTTAACAAGATACATAGAGATCAGATATGAAGCAATTTACAATTTTTATGTCCACTATTGATCCTGACAATTTACAGGATCTGGCGATTTCTTAACAAGATGTAGAAATTCATGTATGCTTCATTTTTTTCACTTTTGGGTAAGAGATTGTACAAGCACATTAAATTATGTGCACAAAAATACTTCAACAGGAAACGTAACACCAAATGTCCATTTATACTGTGATATTCATTTATTTACTAATTTTTGGTTGTTAATGTATTGTGATATTTATAGTACATAAAAATGTGACTGTTACTATCACCAAATATACAGTCGTGGTGGTAGCACCCCACACCTTAGTCACCACATTGTGGTTTCCATTCCCACCACTAACATCACCCTACTTATACCTTCAAAATGCTAACTCCTAATCTAATTGAAAAAAAGGGTAGGACCTGTCTTCCCACTGAATTACCCAAAAGGAAATATACAGGATTCACGTTTCTCATGAATTACTTGTATATGTTCTGCATGCACATATAGATCCAGACAAAAAGCCCACAAGAGAGAGAGAGAGAGAGAGAGGAGGAGAGAGAATTGTATATGCTCTGCATGCACATATAGATCCAGACAAAAAGCCCACAAGAGAGAGAGAGAGAGAGAGAGAGAGAGAGCA